GTATATTAGAATCCTACAAGTAAAAGGATCCTGCAAAACCCAAATTAAAACAGATCTTTAACTTTTCTGTGGTTCTAAGTATTTTTTTCCCAGTGTTGCTTGAAATTAATTTTCCGGAGTCCTTTCTCTTGAACTAGAGAAAGCCAGTTAGGAGAAGCAATTTCCATCACATTTTTTGTGCTATATGACCAAAGCATGGCATTTATGTCATGGTGCCACTCCCTAAATTATTTACAGACGTAGCGCCTTCATTGGTGTGAGAATGATATGAGCACACTAAACTTTTTGGCTTGCAGTGTTGGGAATATCATAGGTATCCCTTAAATATTTTGCAAATTGCAATATCCTTTATTTAAGTTTTCAAGGCAGCATATTCTCAATTAGCTATTTGAATTTTGTGATCATGGCTCAGAATTTTGTTCCTTGATCTTGTTTGTTCATAAACTTTGTTGTTTCATTGTGCTGAATTATGCTCTAACAATTGAAATAATATGCAAGAATATCTGCAGACACCTGTTCAAAGTAGGACTGTCATGGCTAAATGGTCCATATGAAATTGGAAGATGGTGCCTTTTATGTTAAATAGATGCTTATGATACCTGCACTCTTTGAAGTAGTTCAGCATATCATATTGATGAAACAGATGAAAGTAGGAAGTGCAGCCTAGACATGCACATGGACGAAGATAATAGTATTTTTCACAATTTCTTTTAATGACCAGTATAAAACAGGAGGACAACCAACATTCTCTAGCGCCTTCACTTCCTTTACATATTTTTCCAATTTTATTTTAGTTTATGTATTTGTACTCTAGCTAGCATACATGAAAAGTTCTTGGCTTTTGGCTGGCTTATGTGCTTCTTGCTGTAACAGTGTTTTGATATAAGACATCCTTGTAAATATCTGTTGGCACATGACATTATTGAGCTAGCAGTGCTTTTCAATACTAGCATGCTGCTTAAGTTATTAAAATGTATATCACATTTTATGTTTTGGTTCTCTCGTATCATATAATTTGGTTGCATGATGATGGTTACTTATGTTTTAGTTGGTCAGGATTTTGATTGGAGGTGTAAAGGCATATTCTTCTGGTTGCAGATTCCTTCCTTTTCTTGAGGGATCCAACTGGCTCTAGTGAATCACATAACCTTTAAGAGCTGATTCAGTTTATCAAAAAAACTTTCAAGTGTTTTCATGGAAGAGCTTCGTACTTAATTGTGCTCAAAACATTTTTCAGTGACTCGCATTTATGCAATAGTTTTATGTGTTTTCTCTGTTATAATTGTAAATGGCACATCTACATCATATTCTGTCTTTGTCCGTCTCTTTCTTTTACAGTCATTATCCATATCCTTCTTTTCATGTGCAATATCCACCATGGAAGAAAGTGTGCTTGATGATCCATTTAAAATATTAAGCAACAAATGCTTCTACATTGAGCAGTTTTATCATTAAGTAACAAATGCTTCTACTTTTTTCCCTCAGATTGCTCAAAGGAACAGCTTGGATGTTGATGTTGATCTTGCCCTGGGTTTTGCTTCTCACTACTCTAAAATTGGAACCATGGAGTGCTTGGTTGAAGAAGGGAATGCCGGGGCTTTCCTGGGTCCTTTGATGCGAGCTGCAGAGAGGGGCTGCATGCAGGTAGTTGAATGGTTTGTAACTCGGGGATGTAAGGACATGGAGCTATGCCTTGCCCTTACTGCTGCTGCCTCTAGCAGCCAGGTCGGTATTGCAGCTTACCTTCTACCACACATCCCGCAGCATGTCCTTGCTGCCCTCAGCATTGAGATCCTAAAAGCAGCAGGGGAAAGGAGCAGCGGGTCTCTAGATGGTGTTGTGTTCCTTCTTCGCAGCGACTTCCTTGGTGATCCTGCAGCAACATATGCTGTGGCTGACAGCATGGCGAGGTCCAGTGATGAGTCTGTGGCATCTGACCTGAGAGCTTTTCTGAAGGAGCATTGGTCTGAGGCTGCTTTTGCTGAGGGCTTGCGTTTCGGGCAAGACCACTTTGTAAATATCATGAGGATTTTTAGAAGGGGCAGTTCACCCATCCATCTGAAAGACCTGCCGCAGCCCCTGGTGACGGCCATAGCATACCTTCCATTATATAGGGAGTGCCTGGAGGCTGGTGGGCAGCTGCTGCCGCAGAAACTAAGAGGGCAGCTTGTGGAGGCTGCTCATAGGGTCAGCGGAAGGCCTGTGAGCAAGAACAGCCAGACCAGAGAGCTAATGGCAATCTTGGAGCATCACCTGCCTACCTTCTTTCTGCAAGCTCCAACTGTCTCCCGTGCCGCATACAGGTAACTAAACTAGCCAGTAAGGCCTGGAATCAAGGAATATCAGAAGGCTTTGCTTTTAGTCCGTTAGCTATGGATATCCTGTTGCTCTTTTCTTGTCCTGTGCTTTCGCGTAGAGAGTTGCGTCGATGATTTCACCTGAGGATGTCTGAAACAATTTTAATGGTAGTAAGATGAGGAGGGTTTATATAGGAAGATTGTTCGTCAGAGTAGGTTTGGGCTGTGATATACCCAACCTTGTCCGGGCTGCATAGCTCCCTTTCTAAAATTTTCCATCAACCTAAGTTGAATGTGCTTTCTACAACCCCCCATTGCAGTATGTACCAAGCCAAGTTGAATCTGCTGCTTATTACAACACTGCAGTATTAGTATTAAGTATATTTTTGGGATGCCTCGTCATTTTATTCTTGACAGTTACAGCAGGTGTAGAATGTCATGCTGCTGCTGCTGCACAAGCTCTTAATTATAGGGTACAAGTCAAAATCATCCATCAGTGTTGGAGTGTATGGAAGAACACAGACACATTGGTACTTTGTTTGGTTCTATTCTCAGAAAAGAAAGATGATTAGAGTATGTATCCTAAAAATTGGAGATAATGACCAACCAGGAATGAGTACCTTTTTTCACGGAAATGAATTGGTTTGTCTTTTTGATCTATTGAGATAATGTAACTTAGGATTCCTAACACTTTTATGGTCATCTGAAACCCAACAAGGTTGATGTTGAGGTTTTAGAAGAGCGAGCGAGGAGAGATGGGGAGCTCATTGAAGGTTTTTGGGCCTCGCCGGGGGCGACGAAAGATGATGAGTCGAAACTCACGACGAAGGAAGCCATTGTCTTTACCATGGAGCGATGGTTGCCCGCTTGTAATATATCTAATCGGAGCACTTTTTTTTGCTACCTGTTTAGATACACTGACATGACTCACTACGTAGCAGATGATTGGTGGTGATACAATCATCTTCCTCTGTCATAATCTAAGTCCGAAAGTTGAGATGTGATATCATGATCGTGCCATCCCACGATGAGAATATATCAAAGTTTTAAAAAATTATATTTATTTTTTAATAATTTATTAGAGTCTTTTACCTATTAAGATTTTGAATATATTAAACCTTTAAATATTATTCATCGTTATAGAAAATCATTTTAAGACGAGAACGATAATAGTCGATACAAATGATTCATCTGATATTATGTTCCTATAATTCTATATTATTTTTTTTTTATCATGGTACGTATAAAATGAATATGAATCTTGAGTTTATAATAATTTTATAATTAAATATTAGAATGAAACATAGTTTCATAGACTCTTTATATATGTTTACATTATTTTAGTGGTCACTCCATATTTACTATTTTAGTGGAGAAAAATATTTTATCAAATATGATAGGGGTGATAAATTTATTGTAGATTTTATGACTACGAAATTTTATATATGACTACGAAATTTTATCGTAGGACTTAGTGTGGTTAGACTCAATTACCAAATTATTGAATATACTTTATGATATATCGTAGAAATTTTTTTTTTAAGAATAGTAAGTATTGTGATATAAAGTACTCGATGGTTATAGAAAGTGTTCAAAAATAATTAATATTAATTAAAAACTTGAGTTTTACTATATTGATTACTAATCCATTCATTTAGAATTTATGTGTTTAAAAGAATATATTCTTATGATTGAGTTTGTAAGCAACTCATAAAAGATATGATGATACATATTTGAGTAAACGTTATAGTTGACATTCTTATTTGCATATTTAAAGTTATTTAATTCTACTATCATATTCATATTTATGTATGTATATATTATGATTGAATATATGTAATAAGATTATATAAATTATAGTGATCATTTTGGATTATATTAGGAAGGATTAACAGTATTATGAAACATAAAATGAATTATGACATAAGTGACATGCAACCGTTATGACTCGTATTGATAGTTAAACTTAATATGATATTATGTTTATTAGACTTATTGATATATTTTATAAAATTCATATTATGTATAAAATATCTTTTTTAAAAGTTTTAAAATCTAATTAAGTAAAATTATTTTTAAATAAATTTTGATTTCATTTATTTTTTATTTTAAATTTTTTATACCTTATTAATTTATGGTTCGAGTGGAAGAATGCTAGATTATGTGGTCATATTTAATTAAATATGATATATTATAGATTTGATTGAATTTTGATTACGATTATCAATAAATAAAAAGAAAATTCAATTATGAAATGATTCCTTACTAGACGATCTTCATAGGAATGAAACAATTAGTTATTAAAAGACGTATAAATCTTTTCTTATATCCTCTTTATCGCTCATAGTAATCATGTCCTTAAAAGACAAGAAGAGAAGAGAATGAGAGTCTAATTCTCTTTACATATTAATATCGATGTATTTTTGGGCTCCGATGATGATATACCTAATAAAGATTTTCTAAATAATATCAAAAGATATTCGTCGTAAATTTAACACATCACTATTTGATATTAATTTTTTTCATATAATAATAATATAATTATAATTTTTATACAGAAAGATATCGTGTTAACTCTGGATTATCTTCTCCAATTAAATATAATTCTTTCTCTTAAACATAGGATACGGCAACAACCACCCACAGCCAATATAAGAAAAGAAAAGAACACAACACGAAGTAATATTCCCAACAATTTGAGGTCGTAAAAAAAATATGCACTTCTTTTTTTCTTTCTATATATCCAACTCATATGATGTCTCTCTGATTACAAAATTTGGCATCTTTCAACTTCGTCACTCCCATCAAGTAAAACTCTACAAACTCTGAAATGAAATGAATTTACATCATTCTCTTCGTAGGTTTTTTTTTTCTCTGAACTATGTGGCCGACAAGTGTAAGAAAGGGTTGTAGAAGGAAATTTTCACACGGTAAGTGCAAAACCTTCTCAAAGTGCACATCCTTCAAGCAGAAGTATCTTCATATGTCAGAAAGATAAAACGTTTTCTCGATCTCCTATATCATTAACAACAAGCTGATATGAGAGAGTCGATTTATGGTGGGTCAGGAGGATAGCCGAAGTGCCATTTGTTGGAGAAGCAATCTCTTCTGGGCACTGTTGATAAGGCCGCTGCATTCAGCATTTACAAGCACTTCTGTCATTATAGCTGCAGCATGCCCGGTAGGCTCCTCAGACGCCCTCCTCAACATGAACACCTGTAACAGCAGTTAATTGCTTCGTTTTATATAAAATTGATCAGTAAATACTCAGATCAATTGCAACTAAATGTTTCCAAGATACACTGGAACTGGAATAACAGTTAAGAAAGACCTACGGATCAGTTTGATAGCTCCGTTTATAATCATATATATTATCTAGTGTTTGCTGTTTTCAATTACCAGCTTGATGGAGACAAGTATTACCACAATTGCACTCTCAAATTGGAAAGCAACAAAGATTCTAATGCCTAAGGGTTACACAAGATGGAAAAAAGTCTCCCATTCACAAAAGAAATGACACATCTTAATAGGAAAAACCAAAGGACTAGCTAACAATATGAGACTCCACATGGTATACATTTTTCCAAGTTTACTGTTAGATATATTATCAACAGGCTGAAGGTATACATGAGAAAAAAAACTACCTGGCCATGATGCGTTATTTCAAGGCAACCAGGTTGCTGGATCCATGGTTCTCCATCGATCTGAACAGGAAATGGACTGTGGACGTGTAACCTTATTACTTTTCCTTGGGCCAACCTTTGGGCCTGCGAAAGTCCGACCTGTTTACCACTGAACAGGTCAAATTTGTTGACGATAACCTATAAAAAATGTTTGTCTGCATGTATGCTTAGATAAAATATAAACCTAATAAATTTCTACAACGCTTCTCTTTCCTGTAGCAAAAAGACAGCTGTTTGAAATTAAAAAGAGGAGAAATATTATGTGACATTTAGTTTTCTACAAATTTACTTAGGAGTTGCACCTAAAAAAGAACATTAGTTTCTTGTAATCAGAAGAGAAGGAATAAAACCTGAAGTTTCCCAAGGTGCCAAGTCCCGGATATGCATACAACTTCAAGTGTCTTATCATGCATTGATTGCATGTCAAAATCATCATCATGCTCGTAGTCATTTTGCCAAAGGTCCACTCCTCCCATGTAGCTACTGATATTTAACACAAGCACACCTTCCGCATCCTGGGTAAATATATATATAAAATAAGACAGACTCTAAAAGATGATTATATGGACAGCTAGCAAACAGGAGTATGATTTAACCTCTGGGATTTCAACCTCGTGACCATCGACTTCAAGCTTAACTTGCCATGGTAAATCAGCACAAGCTCTGTCCATGATGTCTTTGGCGCCTTCTTTGGCATATCGCAATTTGTTCACAAACTGTAGAATAGGTTATTGCTCAGATATGGAATAGCATATTTTAGTAGCATAATTAGATACTGGCCACAGGTTGTATAACGAAATAGGCCATTTCAAGAAATTCCATTGAAAAGCACACAGCTCACCATAAGAAAATCTTTCTTCTTCCTCTTAATTATGCTCTTTCAACTGGAAGGCTAAGCACGAGTTTATACTGCAAGTGCTCAAACAATACCCTACGGTTTTCATGGCATAATCCCCTCTTTGTTCTCACCTCTATATGCATAGAACCCAAAAATAAAGTGTAGATTATCACTTTATGAGCAGAAGACAAATGATTTTAATCTTTCACAGTGACATGTCTTGACACAAAAGCTGATCTAGTATACAGGGAATCTGTCTGTTAAGGTGAAATAGACACTAGCTCCAACTCAAAAAGAACTCCTACATGCAATGTCAACACAGTCAGGAGCTATGGTTCTGGGGGATGTCATCTATCATTTGGTTGGCAACAAAAGAAAGAAGACCTATTGATTTGTCAGATGTATTCTTTAAACATAAAGGTACTGTCTCGTACTTGAAAAAGCATTGTAAATTTGTAACTATGATAAAGCCATGCCTTGATCAGAAAGAGCAGATACAGTTGCTCATTGGAAAACAAGAAAAGAAGAGAAGAAGAGGAAGAAACTAGAGTTCATTACTAAAGGAGTCTTCTGTTTCAAACAGGTGATTTTGTTGGTATTAGACAAATATAACACTGAAGCAAAGTCAAGCAGTAAAATGATAAACCCCCCATAGAAACATTATTAGACAAAATTAGAAAAATAGAGTACCCCAATATATCTGAAGTAAACTATTGAATTACCTGGCTATAGAACTTGTCGGGTCTTTCTTCCCGAGTCATGTGAAAGTCATATGCTACCTTTGCATCACACCCAATGCCTATTTGAGAAGGGTAGAAGGGGATGCAGATAAGAGTTCAATATGCTTTAGAGTAAACTCAAGTGCTGATAGAAGCGGCCAGCAGTGTAAGCAAAAATACCTAAATAGTTTGTCATAAACTTTGTTTGCTTTGCATTTTCACTTTGCTCCGAATTGTGTTCATTAATTGTGACACTCCAACGATCTAGCATCGTAACTGCTGCATGGTCAATATGTTGAAGAAGAGCTCTCAAACCACCTTGTCCTTCAACTGAAGAAAAGCCTCCTCCCCATTGTAAAACTCGGGACAAGTCATTCCCTGTGCCAAGGGGAAGTATTGCAACAGGAGGTGGAGATTCAAAGTTTTCCTTCTCAATGGCATCGAGAACCCAGGCTACAGTACCATCTCCACCACAGACAAGAATCCTAAAGTATTGGATATTACGGAACAACTTTAATCCAACTTCAGGTCCCTGTGTAGCACTTAATTCAAAGACCTGAAAAGATACATTTTATAATCAGCAAAATTTTAATTCAAATACTCATTGGACTATATATACTAATTCAAGTTAGGAAGAACTATAACAGTATGCTCAAAAGACTAGAACAAATATACATATGATGGATAAAATCTTATAAATGAGTATTTGATTCAAACAACTTTAAATTGGCCAACATATAAAATATGAGTGTCCATGAGTAATTAGAATAAAAAAGAATATTTATCCGCTTATATCCACTACAAAAAAATGCCTTGTTCTAAAATGTGACTGTAGTGATTTCTGCTGTGGTAGCAATGGTGGCTTATGAACTTGGTATGTATGTAGCAATGTCGTAATGTTATTTGATCTTATAGCTACCAGCCTACTATAATAGGCCATGGCAGACCAGCAGCTCTTGTATTGACCATTATGCTACAAATTCTAGCATGTGCTTCAAGTCCAATAGCCATTTTTTTTTCCAATAGTCATTTTAATATAAGATTGATATAGACCAATATCATGATAAAATGATTTACACTTTATATTTGACCTATTGTCAAGTCCTATTTACTTGGCAAAAGATGATTGTCAAACATCTATCCCAATCCTACCATATGCACTAGTCCACAATGTTTCTCTCCTCCATGTGCTCTCCCTTGCCTGCAGTCTCTCTAGTTCCCTTGTCCACACTATTTCTCTCCCACTCACTCTCATGCAGAATCTACAAGTAGATATCATGTTAAGTTTTGATATTTTGATGTCATATAACATATCTATAATCTATTTTCTGGGGAACTTGTGTCCTCAACTTTATATGAACCTTTCATATTTGGATCTTTGCTATGATAAATTTGGGTTTATATTATTGGATCATTTTGTGCTTGTAGTGCCTAATGTCTGCTATCCTACATGAAGACCCTTAAACATAATGTGCTTGCTGCACACAATTTGTAACAATAGGTAGAACAAAAAATTAAGAGCATAAAACAGGAAAACAAACTCATATACAGGGCATAAATGCTCGCACTAAAATATCACTGACCCAATTAAAATCATATGGTGAATGGAGAGAAAATATATATTATGACCAAAAAGCAACATAAAGGACACTGACCTGTACAGGATTTAATAACATGTTCAATCTCCTCCTCAGAGAAGTTCCATTCTGAGCTCCACTCTTGCCGTTAATAAAAACAAGAAGTGGCCTAGCATCTTGTGGCAGATCCACCAGATTATAGTAGTCTTTTCCATTAGCAGCAACAGTTTCCTTGTTTTTCTGGTGGTGACCATTTCTAGTGATTCTAAAACTTGCCAATGTACTGTTGTTCTTTTCATTAGATTTGCTCCATCCAGCAAGACTTCTAAGCATTGGTTCAAGTAGCAAGTTTTCCTCCACCGCATTCTGCAATTTATTAATAGAAACTCCAAAGGAAGCTGAATGATTGCTCCCATATTTACTTCGGTTCCGTCGCCGCCTCATGCGACCCTTCACTGATGAAGCAATGATCTCTTCCTTGATAGAATTCAACATGCCACTATTTCCCTGTTTTCCACCCATTTCTTTCACAGAAAGAGGAGAAAGGATAAGCCTTCTAAGAGGGCCCAGATCACAAACATTACCAGTCTCTTTTAGTAACTTGGCATGACAATCGACATGTATAAGACACTGACACCACAAGCAGCGCCATACAGGAGAAGCACCAAGGAAAGGTATACCACAGGGTTCATCACAGTAATAACAAAAACAGGACAGCTCAGAGTTCTCATCCAAATCCACCCATCTCTCTGACCAATGATGCAGCAAGCGAGATGCACCAGCTTGTGCTACATGTTTGCAGTCAGTTGTGGCATACCCAGAACAATGAAAATGAGCTGCAACACCACAAACAGAGCACCGGTGGATGGGAACATCACATGTCCTATCGTCTCCAAAAGTTTGTGGGGATACGAATGAATATAAACAGACACAACATGCAGATGGTTGACCACTATGAGAATTGTCTTCTGTCCATACATGGGGAGATGTTGGACATTTTAGATTTTCCCATGCTTTCTTTTTTTCTCTAGCTGCAGCTTTAACCCAGTTCAGCGATGCCTGCCTCTGAAACTTCAGGAATGCATAAACAACAGCTAGAAGTGCAAATGATCCAGCAGTGATAAGCCAGACAAAAATCCCAAATCCTGAAACCCCAGTCTCAGTAGCCATTCTTAGAAGTGTAGAACCCACATCCATCATTATTAGCCTCAGTTGCTCCACTCATCAGGTCATAGTCAAAAGAGGGAAATAACTCTAGCAAGAAAATGGTTTCTGAAGATCCAAGAAAACCTGTAAAAGAGAACCCAATCACCACTGAGAATTTTAATTAAAGTACAAAAATACCATTACTCCTTCCAAACACAAGTAAATTCAATGAACTGCCAGATGAACATAAGATAACAAGATTCATTTAGATCAAGACATGTAAAAGATTTTGTTGTTGCTGTTCAATGGCATCAGCAAAAAACATCCAGAAGTGGCATATTACTGTAATATGATGCACTCTGACCTACTGTAAGAAAACTTTAATTCAATAAGACAACGATAGTAAAGAAAATTATACACCAGCATGGAGAAGAAACTTAACAAAATTCAATGTCTATACTTGCACCCTTAAAACATATATGGTTGCTTAACATATATAATAGAAAATGATGGTGAAATAGCCGGACTAGTGGTTAAAAGGTCCAAACTTCCAGGAACTTGTGTAGTTCTTAAAGATTTGGGTTCCCAGACAACGTCGAAGGTGGAGAACTTTTGCCATAATTCCGACAGGCAGATCAATTTTAAGCTACCGAAGCTTAATGTAAGCAATTTCATGTAAAAAGACTTCCGCCCTGAGACGCTTAATCACGAGAAAAATCACAGAAACGACAAGTAACTCAGAAGCCCAAATCGATACAGAATAGCACTGATCAACAACGAATCCCCAAGGAAACCAATCTAAATCCAACAGAAAGAACAAAAATCCCAACAGAGATTCAAGAATCATGAAGCCAATTGCACGACCCGACACCACGGCTGCAAATCCCTCTTCAGATCGGGACCCTTGTAAGCTCAAATCGAGAAAGAATGGGGAAAGTGAAAAGGGAAAAGGAAAACCCTATCGGTCGATCCCACATTACCGGAAATACAAACTGCAAACGAAGAGGAAGAGATGAGATACGTACGACCAAAAACCAAATCCAAACCCCGCAATTCTTCTCCTTTTATACGATTTATCGGTCGAATCTGTCTTGGAGGCGAAGCAAAGGAGAAGAAGAGGAGGAGAGGGAAAGAGAGGGAACCCGCAACGGGAGGAAAGCGGGGTGGCCATCGAGGCCGACGACTGCTTTATATCATCATCGCACCACATTGCATTCGATGTGCGCGTACAGCGTGCTCGGGACGTTTGCGTCCTTTTTCTTAACGGGTCAAGCGGGGTCGGCGACTCCGTAAAAGAAAGCAGCGGATGGTCTTTTGTTTTCCCGAGCTTGATCGAATCAACCCGAGTAATTTTCTCGGGTGACGTGGTCGTCTGAAAGAGCCTGAGCTGGCTCGTGCCGTGTAGTTATAGCTGGCACATGAGAGTACAGGTCAACCCGGGAATATTTCCCGGGTAGTGGAACGTATCAGACTCGGTCACAACGCAGTAGAAAAGATGCCCTGATAACTATGTATATAAACATAGTTATTCCTATTATTACTATCTAAGATGTGCGTCATTTGATTTAGATTTTGACTCTCCGATTGTTAATGCGGTCTCATCGCGAGCGAATTCATTGTGAGATTTGACTTATGAATTCGGAAAATGATAGAAACTGATATGAACTTGAGATCCCATTACTCGCTGATGTTGAATCGAGACAATACATATTATTTATAGTTGAGATCCAATTCCGTGTTCGCGATGGGTCTGAGCTGCTGCTACCAAAACCAAGTCATGCATCCAACACTCGAACATACAAATGACATCTTCCCCACACTGCAGTAGAGTGGGAAAGATAATATTAGATTTAATATTAAAAAACTGCTAATAATATTATTATTGCCCTCACGCAGGATCGAACTACGGACCTTCAGTTTACAAGACTGACGCTCTACCACTGAGCTATAAGGGCTATTGGTAATAGTCGTTGACAATTAAATACTTAAATAAAATAATTTGATAGTGGGTCGGACCTGATGGATGATGCATACCCGACCTGTTCATTGCCGGTTTAAGGAGGAATCGCCGAACCATCGTGAAAGCCTTCGCCTCGGAGAAGGACGCCTTTCTCTTCCTCCTTCGACGGCGTCGATCGCATCCGATCAAAACCCTATTTGCCGATCGATTCGACGTCGCCGGCGTGATTCATTGTCTAGCCCATGGTCTCTGATGCTTAATAGTATGATCTCTGTTCTCTTGAGTCGAATTCAATCTTTTTCTAGTGATATTTCGTGTTCCGTGGTTATCTTGTTTCATCGCGTAACATTTTGTGGTATCGTTGTTTGTCTAATGCCTTTCTTATATCTTTCCTTTGCTATTTGGATCCGAGCGTAATCCGATTGGCAAGTATTGGTCAGTGTTTGATTCATTAGGCTTAAAAGTTCTCCCCTTTTTCTTGTCTCCTAACCCTTCCTACATGTAGGAGTTACAGCGTTCTTCTACTGGGTTTTCTTTCAGCAGTAGTTTTCTGATTGGACATGAACCTAAATTTTGTTTCAAGCTTCGCCCAATTCCATCCCTTGTGTGTCACGTAGAAACAGAACCTAAGGCCTAAGTGTTTAACAAGATAATGTCTTCCATCTGTCTCAGTTGGGTTGATTACTTGTTCTCAATGGTTTTAAACCACTACCTTTTTTTTTTTATCAGGTTTTTGTTATCCCGTAGTTTATTCATTGATGTTTAAATTTCACCTTTTTTTATTTTCTTGCTGTAAATTGTTTAACATGAAGGTATGAGACTGATCCTAGTGTTTAGATTCAACACTGATATTTGCTAATACCATGTTCTTAGTCGCACCGATTTGGCAAACATAAATATAATTTATGGTTCAGAAGTGGATATTCTCTTACAAAAAGGAAATGAATATGGAAGTAAAGAGAGGGAACTTTGATGCCACAGAACCTTGCTCACTTGTTACGAGGATGATCTGTGTTAGAGTGATAAAATTATCTTTGCCTACAGGGGTAAGGCTGCATATTGACCCTTCACAGGGTAACATTGACAAGAGTCACATGCATTGGGCTGTCTATGTAGATGAGCCAGTAGCAATTTTTATCACATTATAAAGAAATGCTAATATTTGATCTATATGTGAGCTATGTTCATACCATGATTGACATACACTTATCCTTACATTTAGTTTGAAGACGTTGTGTCATATTTTTTCATCTCATGTGATGGTCAATGAAGTATGGTTGGAATGATGTTGCAATTTAATTGATTTATTCGTGGATTTAATTCTTTTGCAGGCTTTTTGCTGAAAATGTCACTTTCCAGTTTAGTGGTTTGAGAATTCTGTAATTTATGATGTTCCTCACAATCACATGGCATCAGCAATATTCTCCTATTTGCAAAATCTCTGGCCATTTTCGATATTTAAGGCTGATGATTTGAGAATTTCAGCCCAACTAGTTTGCAAGCTTTCGATCCCAGATAAAACAAAGCAGTTTGTTTTTGCTTTCCGTGAACCAGACTCTGACTCGATAGTGTATATATTAGCTGCTCAGAACCTATCACTGCAATCTGCCTTGGATGCAGAGTATCTGATCAAAGAAGTTCAGCCGAAGGTTGTGGTTGCTCAGATTTCTCCGTCAGTATTGGCTGATATCCGAACAGAGGAGAAGTGCTTAAAAAATGATCGAGTAGACAATGTGCCGACTTCATCATTTGGGGTGCTTAAAAGATGTTTCATAGAAAAAATCAACAAAGATCATTATGAAAGTTTTGCTGGGTGTCAGGTCTTACAAGAGATATTTGGAGTTGGGTTTTATGGCCATTTCTTGGCTGCAAAGAGAGCTGCAGAAGAGACAGATTCACATTTTATATTACTTGAGTCACCATATGACAAACGATATGCTGGAACTAATCAAGACAATGATAAAGATGGAGGTCAGGGCTCAGGGTTGCACATACAAACAAGTGGCTTGCTTCCTGGAAAAGTTACTTCAGCTCTCTGCTCAAGTTCGAAAAGAATCTGTGTAGATGACACACTTAAGTCAGAGATGATTAAGTCAGTGATTCCATTTCTTGATCTAATAATCTCAAAAGAAGTTCAACCTGACCCAAAATCCAAAGTGGTACCTATAAAAGATGAGCCAAATTTTAATTATAAAGTGCCTCTGTTTGCACAATCTTTTTATCCTTTACTCACAGATCTACATGACATATTCATTGAACTTCCATCAATCGGAAAAGCTCTGGTTTCTGTTCAGAGAATGCTTGCTGATATCAATGATGGAAAGCCAGTTAATACTCAAACTTTATCCAGTGTATATATTTTCAGGATTGCAGTCGAGGGTTTAAGGATAGCTTTAAACAATTCTGCCCGTTTTCCGATGGAAAGAACAAAAAAAAGCAACTCAACAGAAATAGAGTTTTTTGAGCTCCCTTCTGAAGAGAAATCCCATGTTCTTTTTGTGCAAGCTCTTAGGAGCCAAGCAAAGAAGTTTGGATCTGTGGTGGCCATAGTTGATGCGGGTTGCTTGGCTGGTCTCAGGAGGCACTGGAATACATCTGTACCCCTCAATGTTGCAGAGTCAACTGATACATGTTTTACGAAATATCATGATGATGATCCTGATGCAAATGATGAAAAGGTAGTTGAGAACATGAAAAGAAAGGGCCTTTTAGCAGAAAGGCCTGTGGTAACAATTGGTGCAGGAGCTACAGCAGTTCTTGGTGCATCATCACTATCAAAAGTTGTTCCTGCATCTACAATTGTTAAGCTTGCAACATACAAAATTCCTGCTATTTTGAAACTCAGCTTGGCACAGTTGCAAAGGACAGCTACTATTGGACTTGGTAATATCCTTGGCTCATCACATTTTCTTACACATGGGCTTACAAGTGCTGGAGCCAAGACCTCCACCTTGAAGTTCACAGCATCAGCTGAAAAAATTCGTGCTATGACACACACTATGATAGCATCAGCTGAGAGAACAAGCTTGTTGGCTATGAGGACATCATTCTACGAGATTATGAGGAGGAGGGGTGTCCGGCCAGTGAGGTTTGCGTCATTGGCTACCTTCGGTAGCAGCATGGTTGCTTGCTCTGCACTTCTGGCTTATGGAGATGGGATTGAGTGTGCTGCTGAGGCATTGCCCTCTATTCCGATGATTGCGTCATTGGGTCGTGGGCTTCAGAGTTTGCACCAAGCATCCCAGGCAGTGAGAGAGGCATGGTACTAAGATACGGGAACCTTTCCAGTCTCTGATGTACAATTTGAGAAAATGAGAGCACAGAAAAGAAGGATTGATATCTCTTGGTTACCTGTGGCCACTGTTTTAGATCTTTCAAATAACTGCAGCTTTTATATTGCCCTGTGCCATGTCTTCAGTTGTGGTTAGCCCCATCGCAAAGAAACTGCAGATTGAGATTTTAGGCACCTAGCTGCTTATGGAATTCCGGACAGCACATTTTGTTCTCTAGCAATCCAATTTATTTACATTTGGGTAACTGACCTTTCGGGCCTCATCACATGCTAGAGATTGGAATGGAAAAGCTTGGATTTATATCCGCTTGTATAAAGTTTTTTTTTTCCTTCTTAGTTTCTTGGATTTCTTTTTTTTGTGTTGTTGCTTTAAGATTGTCGTGTGGCTGTTTGACATGGAAAAATGATCTTAGAATTGCATTGACATCTAATAAATACATTACTATTTTCTAATGGATAGTCTACTTTATTAATTTGTGAATCCGTGGTCTTAGTGTTGAGAGATGGCTTATCTAGTTCTCATAATTGTGGAAGAGGTATGGGTTAGGTTGACTTGAATATGCTCCAATTTTATGTAGGTCGTGTGTGTGGGTTTTTGTTTTCTTTTTTCCCTCCCAGTTATGAGAAGCAAAAGGCCTGATCAACATGTTTAGCTAACACTTCTGGGACCTTGGTGTTATTTGCAGTTGTCCTTAAGAGTTCTGTGCATCAACAGCAAGTATGATGGAGAAGCAATTCCACTTTCTTTTCCACTCCAACCAAATTGAGAGCTTCCAAGTTATTTTGTTTTGGAGGAGGGACTCCTTTTGATTCCTGTTCTGCGGGAGATGTGTGTGTTGTGGGATCATGTCATTTTTCTCTCAATTGGACGATACATCAAATCAGTCCATTTGGTCCATGCCAATCAACAAAACCCAGCTCAAGGTATTGAAAATTAATCAAGATTGTTTGATCAGTATATATTGATGAGAAAATTAAGTTTTCTCATTGTTTTGTTGATCTGAAATATGGGTAAGTTTTTTATTTCTTGTTTTGGTTCTGCTGTGGCTTTAGATTTTGGTTCAAAATTTTACTTTGCTGGTCAACATTTTAAGTGAGAGGAAAAGAAACCATCTTTAGATCATTTGGTTCTACTCATTATTAGTTTAATCAAGAAGGCTCTGTGACTATTTGTCAAATATTTTGGTTAGTTGTCAACTTGACATGTAAACTTCTTGAGGATTGTGCCAAATTTGTGCCAATTCGAAGTGTAGGCAATTCGATTTATCGATTAATCCAAACAGGTATCTGCTAAAGAAGCTCATATTTATATCTATCCAAGCAGGCATCTGCTAAAGTATACATGCAAATGAAACTTGCTGACTGTTAACTCATTGATAACTGGTAAAGTGTGAGCAAGAAAATGTTTTAGACTGGCTCAAGTGATCACTGTAATCTTCTGTTTATTTGTACAGAATAAACAGAAGATTACCTTTTGGTGTATTGATATGCATTTGGAGAGCCATCATCTGATGCCTAAATGAGTTTGATGGATGTGATTTTATAACTTCTAGGTGGAGTAATGTTCTCTGAGAATATGTCAACTTTCCTAATGGCACCTGTATATTGCAATTGGGAACTTTGTTCCCTGACAAGGGAACCTGTGGATGGGAGTATATGGTTGGATCACAAAGTCCAATAGAATACTGCCTTTGCATATCATCTTGGGAATATCCAGGCATCATATCATAGCTAGGATTTGCACATCATTACTGGTTTTCTGTGACTGGGGAAATGGGAACGTTAGGTAAATCTGTTAGATATTATCATGTTCTATATGCAGTATTTGTCTATTTTCATATTGTTGCTGCTTGTAGACTCAAATAGAATGGGTGTTGAGAAATCAAAACTTTGTCAGGTGAATAATAAAACCAGGTTTTCATTAACTAAATACTTGGAATAGTATGATCTTGACATGCTAACTGAGATTTACCTTGTGAAACAATGATTAAACAGTGATTATGGAGTCGACATGGAATATCTATTAGATCTAGTTATAGGTACATGCAAAGAACCACTAATCCTTATCAACTGTGTATAATCTAGATTGGGAAAGCTAGATAGAACAAGTCACTGAGATTCTCAGCTGCAGGTTAAGGCTTCAGTTGATTGTTTCAGTCTTTTCTATCATTTTGACTGTTGTCAGCTTCACAATACCTATAAGAGATGCCCATGCAATCACCTTCCCTTTGTTCTGGATCACTTTGTTTACTTTAGAGTCCATGGAAAGTTAGATGTTGGATTCTTTTTTCCTTTACTTGCATTCATATAATATCTTTTTATCCAGGTACATGTACTGATGTAAACTAAGCACAGAATCAACCTCTTCCTGGGTATGAAACTCCAAATATAACAGCAGACTTAAACTTGTTACTCTGAACTTGGACAACCAAATCTTGGACAGCATCTTCTTGAATGTATCATTTATTCAGATCTGTTCAGCAGAGGCCAATCCAGTTGCATCTGATGAAGCCCAGTCATCAGATGTTCTATTTGAGTGGGAAGTCAAAAGGCAGCACCAAATGGTTATTGTACCACATGTGAACAGTCTAAATGCCTCACCTTGATACATGACTGATCCCCTGCAACCTTGTCTTCTATTCAATGGAACTGTTGCAATCTTTCTTTTTTTGATGTCTTTGATAGGAAACAACACTGCCACTGCCATATGATTCAAGTCATGCTTATTTAAGCCTGAGATGAACAAAATGAGAATATATTGGTGACAGGGAGTGGTTCTAGAATGCTTTCATTGCATATCTTGGTTCCAATACTTTTTAGCTTTGAAACGAAGATAAGAAGAAAAGGAGAACCCAACCTTATTCAAAATGCTCAGACCTACTTTTTTGGCTTTCTTCAATTGGCAAACATTCATTGTATGACTCGATTGTCCTCTTCTTCTTCTCACTCCACAGTTGCTCAGAGGTATGAAGAACTTTACTTGTTTGTACAAGATGCTATTTTCTCCTTCCATATTACTGCAGACACTCTCCTTTTTCCACTTCATGATCTATTCTTGAAGTATGGTATGGCTCATAAGTTTCTTCTAGCTGTAGATTCTAATCCATTCCATCTTGTATTAAATTTTGGACTACACTGACCACATGCCCAATGCATGTTGAACAAGGAGAGGTGACACCAATCACAAACAACATATAAATCATGAATATATTTGAAGATTCTAACTTGAACTGATACATGAAACCTATACCGCGAATAATGTGTCGGCAGATGATCTATAAATCAACTTGCTTATGAGCTTATTAAGCCACATGAGAGTGAACAAAACAATCTCCCAGTTCAAGAGAATGCAGTTTCCAAGAAGCATCCATTGGCAGAGAGCATATTGAGAAAGCAAGCATGGAGAAAGGGTCCTAAAGGCATGCCCACAATTTCCAAGCATCTTAGGATGATGACCAAACCATGATCTCTCTCTCTCTCTCTCTCTCTCTCTCTCTCTCTCTCTCTCTCTCTCTCTCGTGTGGATATCATTCTTCCTTCCATTTAATGGTGAACGGTCTCAGTCTCTCAGATACACTTACACTTCAGTGCAGGCAAGATATGGATTCAGCTTCAGCAAAAGATCGATGCAGCATTTAGAAAAGAGGTTGCTAGGAGAATATAACCAGCAAAGCATCTTGTTGACCACCCAGCCTGCCTATTCTTGAGCTCAACAATCTTCTCATGAAGAATCTATTCAGAAGAGTGAGTACATGTTGCCGACAGTATCAAATACATGTTCATTCACTCTCTCTCTCTCTCTCTCTACGCAACACCATTGTCAAATCACACTTAGCTAAGCTACAAGTGCTGCCGCCAAGAGGAAGAAGAATGAAACTTGGATGCCATGACATGAAGTCATTCGCCATGATCTCCACACCTCCGAAGACTCGTTGGGGTCCAAAGCATCCGCGAAAGCAAAAGCCATTAGGTTCTTACTTGCCCCGCGAGCTTACAACTCTCCTTATTCGAAGCACGGGGGCCAAATCCAGTGATGCCGTCGTGGCCGGATTTGCGGGGGAGACATTTAGAGCAAGCCAAGTCAAAAGGCAATCCATCCACCTTTCCTCGTTGCCATGCGTCACTCGCTCAAGATTTTATTCACCTTCAGAATCCATCACAAATGGATTCCGCGACCATGATGAGGTTTCTATATAACCAATCCCCTCCCACCCCCCCCTCCACCACCATTGCCATCGATCTCCTCGGCTTTGGTTACCGACTTACCGAGAAGCTCTCTTCTGCTGTGGTCGATCATGTCGAGGGACGCCCTCGTCGTTGGTAATGTCGTGGGTGACGTGTTGGACCCATTCGTCAAGTCCGCGACGATGAAGATAACCTACAACAAGGAATTGACGAATGGGTCCGAGCTCAAGCCCTCGATGGTGGCCACCGAACCGCGAGTGGAGATGCGAGGACACAACACGAGAAACCTTTACACGCTTGTGAGTATCGTCACCTCCACTTGTTAGATTTACCGTTAGATTTACCGTTAGTTGACTTAAATCTTCTGAGTCGAACAATGAACAACGATGGGAAGTCAAAGATTTGAGTTGGCTGCAAGAGTCTCATCCCACCGCAATCTAATCCAATGGGAACAAACGTTAGAATAGGCCAAAACTGGAGGTAGGTTTGTCCGCTAGTGGCAGAACAAAGGACACAAGTGGAGAGAATGTTGAAGCTTTTTTCTGCAGTCTTTTGATGATAAGACTGTTTTGACTTTTTGTTCTTTTAGCTTGGCCGTCCTTTTAGCCTTTGGATGATGATGAGAACCAAACTCCTCATCTTTTCAGCTTTGTTGACGAGAGGAGCAAAAGATCATCCCATTACAGCCAGAAACATAGAAGAAGAACATCCAGAGGCAGTGAATTATTCTTTTCAATGGTCAATCCATGTGAGATGATAAAAGAATAACATCCAATTTGGTCAGAATTGATAACTCAGAATAATAATTAGGATTCTATGCTGCACTACTAGCAGAAAGAAGAATTTGGATTGATGATTGATTACTTCTTCTTCTTCTTCTTCATGTCAAATAAGGTTTAGAGAGTTTGCAGATGCTAACATTGAATACTAGTCTTACAGGTGATGGTGGATCCTGATGCACCAAGCCCTAGCAATCCAACAAAGAGAGAGTACCTGCACTGGTAAGATCAACTTGCAAGAAATCTGGAAGTAATCCCCCACTTTTTTTTTCTTCTTCTTCATCCAATTGAGGAACATTAGCAGCTGCTAGTAATCCTTTGTTTTTTTCTTTGTCGTCTGAGATAGGTTGGTGACAGACATCCCAGAGACAACAAACGCCACTTATGGTGAGTGACAACAAACCACCATGAATTTTTTCTTACAAGACATGCATTTATATGCAGACCTCATAAATCATACATTTTTTTTCTGCGGAAAACACAATGTTCATATGCAAAGTATTTATTTGTGACTAAATGGACCACCGGTTGAAATTAGCATGTTATCAATCTCGGAATAAAGTACCTGCAATAATAAAGAGGAGCTTTTAAATGGAAACAATAGAAAACTACAATCATAGCATTGTAACGCAAAAAAGAAAGCCTATGTGTAATTCGATTAAGCTTCTTCGGATAAATTTCAAGGATTTTGTAAAAACTTCTTGCAATATATATTCCTACGAAAGGAGATTAATTGAAAAAGTTTGTGGCTCATAATCAAGGATCCATCATCCTTTTTAAGCTATCTTTCTTCCTCTGCCCGATGACAGGAAAAACCCATGTAATCTATCTCAGATACTTAGGACACTACTACTGATTGCTGTTGTTGCCTTTTCAAGGTTATAAGTAATTGAAAATGTATCAGAAATCGTCAGAAAATAAGACCACAGATTTTTCTTGGTCTACAAAATTTACTAAAAATAGGGAAGAGTTTCAGCACCTGTCCATGCTAAAGACTTGTTGATCAGTGACCAAGAAGTGAAACATGCCCATGATCTCCTCTGCCTAAAGACTTGATGAGGAATTAGACTTCCATAGCAATTAACTCAAAATTGCAACAGATCTGTGGTTGCGATGCATTGCTGGTATATTATCTTGTCAAGCTATCTGGCTTCCTTAGCTTCATGACAACTTTGTTAACTAGCTGTTTCATGCCTCGTAAGTTCACATACTAAACATTCAAAACCTGTCGACGAAAACTAAAATTCTTACTGAGCAAGTTAGAGATAAATATTTCAAAGCCCAAGAATCAAGCTCACTGAGTATAAATCTGTCATCTTTTACCAATAAAAATTGTTCTGAATTCTGATCTTGTGTTTTAGGCAACGAAATTGTCTCCTATGAGAGTCCACGGCCGACCGCTGGAATCCACCGGTTCGTGTTTGTGTTGTTCCGGCAGTCCGTCCGCCAAACCATCTATGCGCCTGGATGGAGACAAAACTTCAGCACAAGGGATTTTGCAGCAGTTTACAACCTAGGGGATCCTGTAGCTGCGATGTTCTTCAACTGCCAGAGGGAGAATGGATGTGGTGGAAGAAGGTACATCAGAACAATAATAGGGTTCAACTAACTCATGCAAATTATCTAACTTAGCTCACCAGATATATATATAGTGCCTGACTCAATGTCCAGGGAACCATCATTTGGAATTGCACTGTGCTTTCCAAATTGGGATGTGCTTTGTGCATATCCAGATCCTATAAAGAACACAAATGCAAAAGCATCTACCTAAACTCACTAAAGAGTACACAAATGCAACAGCATCTACCTAGATCCTCTAAAAGAGTAAAATGCAAAAGCATCCTGTTGATACCAAACACTGTTTGCCAAATGTCAGACATGAATTATGGTTCAGAAACTATGAGCGGTGCATAAGCCTAGGACAACATGAGCAGGCTGCGGCTTAGTTTCATGACCAAAGTCTGTGAACATAGAATTATCCATTATTTCCCAATGCCTCCATCATTACCTCTTTCTTGGCCTCAATAAAACAATTTGTAGGTTGTTCAACCCTGAAAGGTAATAGTGTAGGGAAACTAGATCAGGATTTTAAAACGTGTACAAGGCCTAGCTCTTCGATCAATAAATAGAATATGATTCACATTTCTTCCATGACAATCTTAACCTACCTTGCTTATTCCTGTAAGAAGAATATAAAAACATCAATTGCCTTGTATACTTGTACATCATGCCCTTATAGCACTGCATCCTGAAATATATCGTCCATGAGACATCAATTACCATACATACTTGTACATCATGCCCTTATAGTACTGCATCCTGAAATATCATCCACGAGCGATTACTTAAATCCCAATATATTGTTTATGATGACAAAATAAGTTTGTTCATTCTACTTAAGATTCTTTAAATTTGGAAGCCACAAATTATTTTCTACAAATATTTCTGTAGAATAGCATTAACTTTCTAATGTCAAGAGGGCGACATCTAAGCTCTAATCTTTAATTGTTCAAATGTGGAACCTTAGATAGGAAGGAAGCAGAAAAAACTTAATCAAGAAAAATTGTGGCTTTGACAAAACATACAAATTAGTGTCAACTCCATTTGTTGGCATTTTGTAATGTTTGTGTTAAGAAATAAAACAAGCTATGATTAAATTCATGTACAAGGACTCATGAATCTTTTCTTGATTGAAAGGTACCAAGCTGTCAGTGGATGGACGTGATGACTGCAATTGTTTGAGAGTAAGTCAATACTCATTAGGGGAGACTTATGGTGGAGCCATGCAAAAAGCTGAATTTTCATGATGACATATGATACTATGCATGATAAGATGCGTACTACAAAATTTTCCTATGTTTACAAGTCTGTTTTATCATCCTACCTGGTAAATTTTGTATTTGCATTTTGATGGTGAAATGTCATGTTTATACCAAGCATAATGCTATTTGGCTTAAACAAAAGTCCTTCACTTATACCACATGGAAAAGTCCAGGCATATATCAAGAAACATAGCGTTAGTACGTGGAATTGCCTGATAACCATAACTGCTGTTAGAAGATTTTTGCAAACATTTAGCAACTAGAGTATCAAATCCAATCCAAATAAAAAGAGTCAAAAATGAAATTGCATTCTTTGAAAATTAATTATATACATAACATGTTTCAAGAAAAAAATACATATAAGACCACGTTCCACTGTATACGATTAACATGTTAACAGAAAATTGATCGAATAAGACAAGGCTCAGTTTCATACTCCATTGGGCTTGAAAATGGATGTGTCAAAATAAAAACCTAAAGCATTATAGGCTCTGCTGAGAACTTCACTATGGATCCCGAAGTTCATTAGCAATACCAAGTGAAAGATTCGAGATTCCAAAAATTAGAAGGGCTTTACAAAATATCAACCACATGCTGATCAGATCAGCTATGAGTTAAATTGCTTTTTACATAATAGCAGATCAACAAAAAATGACTCTATAATTTTAAATGTTTTGCATTTAAAAAGATATAAAACTAATTCTTAAATGGGAAAGACATATATAGTTACAAAAAATATGGAGCAAAATAAAATAATCAAAACGTTACATTGACCTACCATACCAGTTCTGGAGATAATTATAGATGGATTATGTTTACGATGCCTTGTGCACTATGATGACAATACTAGAATAATTTCGGAAGAAAAATTTGGTGAGAGTTTGTTTTTCTGAATATACTGCTAAAACATTCATAAACAAATCTCACCTTCTTTCCTGGCAATGCATACCCAAATATTTGGGACATCAGCATGTCGATTGCCCAACTTTCAATAACTCATCAACTCCCACTTGCATAAATTTTTTACAGGACTTCCAGCTTCAGTAGACATAACTTTGTGCTTATCTTCTTTCTTTTGAATGCTTATATCAGCAGACTTGAACCATGATACATTCGCGGAATATAGTCGACTGTGAGCTCTGTTTATCTTCTGTTGCCCTTGTTGTGCTGAAGGTGCAAGTTACTTGAGTCAAACCTGGAAAGAGTTTTCGAGAGCCTGCACAACCTTCCACTAGTTTTGAATCCCTGCTATAGGTCACCATGTTGCAATTGTTTATCTAGAGTACACAAGGCTAGCAAAATGTCCTCCTTCAATGGGTGGAGAAACTCTCCAACTATAAACTCATGAGCTTCACCATTCACCTCGACAATACTGGTTCCTGTTTCTTTCTTTACACTGCTCTGCCTCATCAGCCTCCTCACCCTTGTTACATCTGCCCACCTACAATCTGCAGCAAATATGTTAGAGAGGAGCACATACACGCCGCTGTCAGAAGGCTCCAGCTCAAGAAGGTGGCATAGGATTTCTTGAGAAAGTTCCACATTTCCATGAGCTTTGCAAGCGCTCAGTAAAGCTCCCCATACATAAGTGTCAGCTCTAATTGGCATGGATCTAACAAGTCCATAAGCTTCTGATATGAACCCAGCTCTACCAAGCAAATCAACCATGCATCCATAGTGTTCTATCCATGGCACAAGTTTGTAGGATTTAGTCATCAAATCAAACATATGACAACCCTCTTTTACTAAGCCAGAATGACAACATGCACAAAGAATAGCTACAAAGGTAACCTCATTAGGAATGACACCAACTCCCGCCATTTGTTCGAAGTACTTGAGAGCTTCATTACCATGACCATGAGTGGCTAGGGCACCAAGCAATGCATTCCACGAGGTAACATTCTTATGTGGCATCTCATGAAAGCTGTGCACTGCCATATCTACGCATCCACACTTAGAGTACATGTCAACCATTGCGGTCCCTAGATGAACATCCCACTGAATGCCCTTTCGCTCTATGTACTCATGGACCCATCTCCCAGAAGACAATGCCCCCAAGCTCGCACAAGCTGACAGAACACTACATAGAGTGACATTGTCTGGCTCCACTCCAGAAGCCTGCATGGAATTGAAAACATCCATAGCTTCCTTGGGAAGCTTGCATTGCACTAACCCACTAATAAAACTAGTCCATGAAACTATGTCCCTTTCAGGAAGTTCATCAAAGATCTGTCTGGCCTCCTCCAAACACTCGCACTTCAAGTACATATCCAGAAGGGCATTTCCAGCGACCAGACTCAACCCATAGTCATGCTTCAATATCAATGCATGTATTGCCCTGCCCACATTCAAAGCCCCCAATCTCCCACAGGCGACGATGATGCTAACTAGAGTTGCAATGTTCGGCTCCACATCCATCAGAGAAAACAATTGCAGAGCTTTTCCGAATAATCCACCTTTCACATATCCCGAGATCAAACTGGTCCAGGAGACCACGTCTTTAATGGGCATTTCGTCAAACAGGAGACCTGCATCACCATATTCCTCACACACTGCATATACATGAACAAATGCATTCTGGACAAACAGATCGCACGAGAACCGCAGCTTAACTGCGGCACCTTGAAGCTGCCTGGCTTCGCCGATCCCAAAGAACTTGATGCAAGATTTCAGAACGATCGGGAAGGTGTACCTATCGGGAAAGACGCTGTCAGCGAGCATAAGCTTATACGCGACGATGCCCAGGTGTGGGTGCTTGCTCCTGGCATAGCCGGAGATCAACGAGTTGAAGAGCAGGGGGAACTGGTAGCGGCGGACGCCGTGGATGTGCTTGACGGCTGAGTAGGCCGCGGGAGGATCCACAAAAGCAGGAAGAAGGGCGGCGACCTCGGCGGCCACGAAGGAGTCCTTGGTGACGCCGGACGTGAGGAGCAGAGCGTGGATTTGGTCGAAGGATCGGATGCGCTTGCGCTGGCGGAGGAGGCAGAGGAGGGCGGACTGCAGAGGGTGGGCGGAGGCAACGTTCATGGTCCTCTCGAACGACGGCCGTTGAAACCGGCATGCTTTTAAATGGAGTCGAGGGTTTTTGTATGACATTTTTAGCCCGATGTTCATAGCAAATGACACCAATGAACTCATATTTACTGACATATGTGGAGGGTATTTTGGTCTTTATATAATTATATAAAAGTCTTTATTTTATACGATAAAATTGGAAATGTAAATGTCAAGAAAAACATTAAAAAAAGCTTATTTGGAAACAAAAGGATGGTTGGCAAAAATTGCATATTAACTTCATTTTTAGTAGACTAATTTTGAAATCAATAAGTAACTTAGATTTGAAAATTAATTAACTCGATTAATATATTTTTCAACTGATTTTTATTATGTAATTATTAATAACACTAAGTTGAAAACTGAGCTAATGATGGAAGAAACCCTAATCAATGTTCTAATGTTAGAAACTATATAAGGATGATATTTTTTTTATTTAACACAATTATTTTTCAAGTCTATTTGGTGTAGTACTCACAAAATAATCATAATTTCATCATGCAAATCCACAAAGAAAAATCATCATCATCATAATGGTGAGAAAATATACACACAACTTAGTTCTATTAACAAAAACCTTAAAGTCAAGTTAATGATAATAGAGTTGTTTAATATTATAAATCAACTCAATTCTTCTCACATTTCTTAATGGGATTATTTAGGATTTTACATGTTCATTATTACCTTTGGAACTACTATTTTGAATATAAGAGAAAAACCTCGTAAAGTTTTTTTTCTTTTTTAGTGAATGATAAATTTATCGAAAGATAAGTGTTATTATCAACACTTAAAATTATTTACTACGTAAAGTAGTTGACATCTTCTAAAATTTATCGAATGAGAACTTAAACTTTTGATTTTTGCCGAGTGAGTTTGGTACAAAAAATCTATGCAATGGAGTTTCCATCTTTGATGAGTTCATTTGGTACATCACAATCGAACTAATATTATTACATAACCTTAACCATTCAAAGGCTTCTCAAAGTTGACCCATCAAAACCTTCAATGTGGCATGGACGTGAGTGTCTATCGACTTCTCATGCCTTGTCGTATACTTACTAGAGTTTATGACACAAAAATGTTAGAGAAGGCCTCATGACTTCATGGCCAGAGAGAGAGAGAGAGAGAGAGAGAGAGAGAGAGAGAGAGAGAGAGAGAGTCCAATTTATTGTGGTTGTTGGCATTGGTGAGTATATTTATGCTTCTTTGGCCATTTATTTCATGGAGGCGGTGGAGGCTGTTGTTTGTGTAAGCATAGCTCCTTTCGTTTCTTTCATTGTTTGTGAGAATACGAGGGGTTAGAGCATGCATGCATGCTCATGAATGCTCACCCACTCGAACGAGTTCATGAATTCACGGCACTTAATGGTGTGGTTGTGGGAGGAAGACGGTCACGAGGTGCATTAGAGCTGCCATGAAATGAGACGGTTTTGTCATTTGTAGTTAGATTTGCTATCAAAGCCTCTTTCTTCATCCTTTATGGACGTCGTTGGTCTTCTTCCATCGCAAATCTCTAGAATTCATTGCATGGCCTTGCAATTGTTTCCTCTCGAAACTAGAATTCAATTGATGATCACAAATTATCTAGTGTTGTACTTGATTGATCAAACTATACTCACCTTGAAACATAATCCTATTTTATGAAACAAATTATTTATGTGTTGCTAATTGCATTTTTCTGTGGTTCATTTTCTAAAGGTGATTTCATCTGTTGACATAGGAAACAAATTATTGGAGGAGAAAAGATGATAGAATTCACTGACTACTTGTTAATTAATCATATAATCAATCCTATTTTCTTTTATATTTATCTCATGTTTCTTAATTTCTATTTGTGCTCATTTCTTCCTAACTATTTCTTTTGAGCTTTGTCATCTCCCCTTTGGAATTCCTAATCTCATTTAAAAGATGTATCCTTTTAACCCAGTAGCTTATTATTATTATTATTATTATTATTATTATTATTATTATTATTATTATTATTATTATTATTATTATTATTATTATTATTATTAAATTTGCAATTTTTCATGTACTGAATTTAGCAACACCAGAAAGGAAACCATTTAAGTAGCCAAAAATAGATTAGCAAAGACTTAGATTTTGATGGTAGATAACTCTCCAAGTCGGAAGGATAGATCCTCTCCAACCACGCCTTCAAAGTCACCATCCAATTGCCACATCATAGCCGTCCATTACAATGGGGCCCGTTCCCTATCGCCCGTACAGGGTCCAACCCACTACGCTGGATTTGAATCCTCCATCATAACTGCGCCCGTACAATAATTGGAGGCGATCCCAGCCCTACGCCGTCCGTACGGTCTTGGGAGGGATTTCAGGCATTTAAGGTCACTCTACTCGTCCACCATTGAATCGTCCTCCTTTGATGGGTGTTGGATGAAAGGCCATTTATGAACCCTACTTACTGTCCACGCCCTCCCTTTCATGATCCCATCAATGAATTGAAAGCCTTCCCAGCCTCCTTGTTTTGCTCAACCTCTCTCTCTCTCTCTCCCCACTTGTCAGTGATGGATGGCTCATGGCTTATCATGCGGACATGTATATAAATATGCCTTGTGGCAGACTTAGTACATGAAAGAGTGCGTACAGCTCGAGAAAGAGTTCTTCCAGGAGGAAGAAGCAGGTGAGGGGGAGTGAGGCTATGGATCATGCCGAGCTCTCGCTTGGCCTTCCTGGATCGATGATGAGTGAGATCACGAGTAGTGCATCTACGGAATCAGATGCGATTGCTAAGAGGAAAAGGAAGATGCAGCAGACTTGGGATCATGGGATTGATCTCCACCTCAATCATCCCCTCCCTTTAGAATGGGAACAATGCCTGGACTTACAAGTGAACACCTTCTCTCTCTCTCTCTCTCTCCCTCCCTACCTCCCTCCCTGTTCTTCTCATATATCACACAGCTAAATGGCATCTCAGTGTTGTAACCTTGATTTGTGGCAGTCGGGGAACATGTACTACTTGAACAGGAAGACGATGAAGAAGAGTTGGGTGAGGCTCGAGGAGAAGTCGATGAAGTTGGAGCTTAACATCTCAACCTTTGGGAGCTCAGAGACGAAGAAACAGTGCAGCTCAAGTGGCAGCAGCATGATGGCATTAGTCTGTGTGAACTGCCATCTCCTCGTCATGCTGCGCAAGTCATCTCCTTCATGTCCGAACTGCAAGTACGTGCACTCATTGCCTCCTCCTCCTCCTCCTCCTCAGAAGCTCCAAGCCGTCAAGCCCTTGGAAACTCTCAGCCTCCTCCATTGATTCCACTGCAGGTAAACCAATGCATGCAGTCGCTTCAGAAACCCTAACAAGATAAAGGGGGGTGTGTGTGTGTGTGTGTGTGTGTGTGTGTGTTTATATATGAAGGTACAAAACCTCCATGTTCAAAGAGGTGATGGACGTGATACAGAAGCTTCGACTTGTCTTCTTTGTGAGTTGCACTTAGGGCAGTTTGGTTGGTGGATGGACATGATGAATGCCCCATTCTACTCCTTTGTCTCTTGCGTCCACTGCATGTGATGGTAAACTGAGAGCTAAAATTTGTGAGGAGGAACTGGCAGTCACAAACCCAGGTGGGTGTGCATGCATCTGCATCTCCAAAATTTTACAAGGGTTTGGAACTCCTGCTCATGCAATGGGTTGTCCGATCAATTTGATTAGGATAATGTTATTTAGGTACTAACAAAAAAAAAAAAAAAAAACCCCTCCTGGGAGATAACTCTGACATGTAGATGTCAGAGTTGAGGTTGACTTGGTCTCATCTTGGGGCAAAACATGTGATTTATGTTTTATGATTTGTTAGATTTTATATCCAAGATTGAAGATTATCTAGGCTAAGTTGGGTCATTGGATGACAAGAGCTAGAAACAAGCATTATGTGGCATGAAATATATATAAAAAAAATACTCATTAAATGTACTGCAACTCAATGAAATTATCCTCATGAAATGTTAGAGGAATATTTTTGAATTATAGTTATCAATAATTGGATTGGACTAATCTTTCATTTGTTACCCCATCATCCTCTTGTTGTCGTCCCCTTTTATATCGTCTTCCACTCTCCCACTTTTGGCACAGCTCTCTCTTTGGCGTTCAAGTCTCTTTCTTTTCTTTGGTCGTCATCATCTTCTCTCTCGATGTTATCCTCTCTCATTACCAACAAGTTGTAACAAGTTCAGGAATAATACGAGTACATTAAAACCTGAGTTTAACAGTCTTCAAGTTGTAAGGATGTGAAGCAAAAGATTTACAGAAAGTAACAGGAACAGACTCTGTAGTTATACTTCACCCTGTTTTATATGAACATGGAAAGTTCTATACACTTATGGTGGAATAGCTCCAATTATTCATTAGCAATCAGGTGTTTGATTTAAGCCTGATGGTGACAATAAGTCGATGATAAAAAAGGTTGGTTGCAAATTATGCCTGAATTCAAACATAATTCAAGTACCTACTTATGTACCTGAATCCTTTTGGAAACTGGTTAACCTATTCCCGATCCCTGTTTAAGCAGATTTTGGGTAGACCCAAATACCCAAGAAGAACTCTCACTTTTTTCTTTTTTCTTTTGCGAGAAGAACTCTCGCATTTGAATGAAGGTAATCATTAAGTTAAATTATTTGTTATCTAAACGGATAAGATAATTAAATTCTTTATCATATGGTTGGTTCACCTCTAATAAGCATCTGGTGATTCTTCTTGCCAGGTAGGATATGAGAGCACATATACAACATGTATGAAACATTTTCAGTTGTTCCAACAAGTTGTAAGAAGTCCAGAAATAATTATGAAATATAGATAAATATGAATATGAATATGAAATAAGAAATAATTATGAAATATGAAGTCCAACAAGTTGTTCCAACAATTTATTTACTCAGATAAATATAGAAATCAACAATGAAATATTTATGAATGAAATAAACAGAAAACCTGAGTTTAACAGCCTTCAGGTTGGAAGGATGTGAAGCAAGGTTCTATAGAACGTCAAATATATGTTCATACATGTAAGAGGGACAGGCTTTGTAGTTTTACCTCACCCTGTTTTATATGAACATGGAAAGTTTTATAGACTTATGGTGGAATAGCCGCAATTATTCATTATCAATCAGATGTTAGATTTAAACCTTATGGTGACAATGAGTCGATGATAAAAAGGTTGGTTACAAATTATGCCTGAATTCAGACATAAATCAAGTACCTACTTTTCTATCTGAATCTTTTCGGAAACTGGTTAAACTATTCCCGATCCAGTTTAAGCACTCTCACATTTGAATGAAGGTATCATTAAGTTAAATTGTTTGTCATATAACAAGATAAGATAATTAAATTTTTGATCATACAAATCCAGTGCTGAGAAAGTTATCGATTTTAGAGTAACAATGTGAAATATTCTTCTCATGAAAACTAAAAATGTTACCTAAGTAGTAGCTGTGAATTATTTCTTCAATATAACCCTATGAAAATTGGTCCATGTCTCTATCTAAAATAGTTTGGTTGCTCATAAAGAGATCTTCACATTTATCAACCATATCATTCAAATTATTCAATTGGAACTTGAGAGATGAAACCTGATTAACACCAACAGACAATCTCTACAAAATCATATTCTTCATAACACCAACAGACCATTGTTCAAGTCTAGAAAACAAAGTAATGGCATATTAATAGTAGTCTCGTGTAATGGATTCATCCTTTTAACAATGTCGGTCACCAATCTATCCACTCAAGGTTTTGCCACCAGATTATTTTCTTTGATAACTGTATGATCAAGGCATAGAGATTTGTCTGGCCTATACTTTAAATTTTAGATTAGGTTTGAATTATTGGCTTGATTGAATCTGTCTAATGACCATCAATTTCTTGCAAATAGAACTAGGATTACTGATAATGTAAATTTGACTTCTGAAAATGAGGAACACGAGAACATGAAGATCATATACTATCATATTGTCTACTAATAGTTCCTTGCAGATCACAGCAACATAAGAATTCATCATCTAGAATGAGATGGAGAAGTAAAACCGAAGAGAAGTGCAACTAAAGCAGGAATCCATGTCAAAGAACATACTTGATTCGAGTGACGCTTACTTCTTTACTTAATCGAATATATTGGTCCTAAAATAGTTCAAAAATTACCATATTTTGCATGACATTGTTTGGGAAAAAACAGAGGAACAAAATGGGGGGAAGACTGAGCTTACTCGATTTTTTTGATTCCATTTGGCGAAGCCTCCCCGAGTTCCCAACAGGAAGTTCGAAGCTAGACGGCAGAGGCCGTTTGCATTGCGGGACGGCTAGAAGATAAGTACTAGAAGGGCGATGAGGGAGGAGCTCGGAGGCAAAAGGCCATCGCTACGGTTAGGGTTCTTTGTCTCGGATCTCTCGTGGGCTTTGGAGAAAGGGAGAGAGCGTAACACAGATGGGCATGGCTAGGGTTAGGGTTCTTCCTCCCCGGATCGAGACACAGAGAGAGAGAGAGAGAGGAGAAAGAGAGGATGAGTGGAGCCTCCGCAGACGACAAGATGGACGGATGCAAAGCGGTTAGCCGGATTTCCTGTCCTTCATCGGGACACGTGGATGGTCGAGATGACGTCTTCGTCGAACGTTAGCCAAATCCAAGCGACTGCTGGCCGCAGGGCCCGGCCCAGACTTAGCCTTTAGATGAACACTACCCCTCATCATCGTCTCTGTCTCTCAGCTTGGCTGCAGTGTCCGGTGATGGCAGCCAGACGGCCTCCACAGTCTCGGGAGGCGCCTCCTGTCATTCGACCGATTCAAGTCACTGCCCACCGGCGCCCCTTCAATCGGTCGGTGGTTTCTTATCGGCCTACATCTGCGTCCAGGTTTTTAACTTTATCCTCTTCTTCCCAATCTTCTATCTTGTGTCCACATTCTCTTCTGAGCCTTCACGTTTTCGGGAGAGAATGATACTACTGAGAAAGAATAGGAATACTTGTTAGATTTTCCTTGAAAATTAAGCTGGATAAAAGATTTCGTGGAGATTCCAAAGGGGATGAATCAGGGCTTATGCAAGATTGCTGCTGCGGAGGGCTACTTCCCATGGGCTATGGAATGGAGTGTGTGTGTGTGTGTCTTGTCCTTGAATGTGGTCTGAGTTGACCTTCATTTCTAAATCACGATTCTGTTTCTATCTCCGGTTGTAGCTCTTTCAAAATAGTGTTCTATAACCTTATTCCAACTTATTGTAGGATTTTAGTGTGAATTTAGTATGTGCATGGAATTTACAAGCATCTTAATGGATGAACCAGAGAAACATATGTTCTTAAAAGGAGTTTAAGAGTTGTAAAAACTTGATTTTTAATTAGCATGTTAACTAACCATCCACTTGCCTCCAAAGAACTTGATTATCATTGGAAACTACTTTGACTCTCTTGTTTTCTTCTCTTTCTTTTCTCTCGGAGGAAGACATGTTTATTATTATAAATGGAGATAACGATGAAGAGGTTAATGCGTATCTAACATGTTTTGAAGACTTTTACGTGTTTCTTTTAAGTTGGTTGGAATTTTTTCATTAATATCTTGTGAAATCAAATCAGTTTAGGAATTCATAATCATGTTGGCTTTGAAATATAAAATGACCAAACATCTTGTTACATTAGCCATTTGCGGGCTTTTAGTAATAGAAAGAAGTTGATCTTAGATAGCATTGATACTAATTCAAACCAATGTGATGTATTTTGCCATTGTCATAACAAGCCACAGCCTTCAACTGTTTGAACTCAGCTGCATAGTTTGTCTCCTACATTCAAGGTGCACGGTTACCATTTGTCGGAAAATCAACCAGTTCTTTATGACTCTAATTATCTTCTTAGAAAATGCATGTATATACGGAATTATTCTAAGAAGATTTACTTTTTCGAAACAGGGTTCATCTGACAGTTACACAACAATTCTTTCTCTGCAAAGCTAAAACATGTAAGCCATCTCTGTGTTTAATTCATCACATTTTGGTCGTATTTACTTCTTCGTCAGTATTTCAGAAAGTTGCTCGTCTCTTTTCATTGCCCTCCTTTAATCGACTTTGTATATCATTGCAGATGAATCCGAAGTAGTTCCTCGCAACTTTGCTGCAATCCCCTCTAGTCTGTTAACTGCAGAGAGAGAGGAGGCAAAGGCTGTATTAACAATGTTTCTGAAAAAACAAGGTTTGAGCAACACAGTGGCAGCGAGAGTTATCAACAAATCAGAATGTTTTGTAGATCACCTCATTTTGAAGCTCCACTTGATGCATAAGTCTCGGTATCTAGTAGGTTCGAAATCCAAAGACATGTATTTGCTTCCTTCTCCCTGAGCATTCTCTGATGCTAGCTCCAAACTAATCATCTCTATATTGCAGGGAGAGAGCTCACGACTCTTGAAATTAGAGGTGCATTCATTCCATTCCTTGAATCTCTTCTTGAAGAACATGGGGATGCATTGGTAGATTTTGTTGAGAACTTCCCAGACCCTCCAGGTATAGAAAGAGCTGCTTCGACTTCTCCTGTAAACACTACTAGTTCTAGTTCTAGTTCTAAGAAAGAAAGAGCCATAGCCCGAGTAAGTCAACTAAGTCCTGATGGCCTTCTTCCTGAACTTGTCCTCTACCTTGTGGACCTCGGTATGAAACTTGAGCAGATCAAGGACATAGTGCGTAAGTTTCCAGCTTTTGCTTACTATAGTTTGGACCGCAAAATCAAGCCTTTGGTGGAGTTTCTTCTGGAGCTTGGTGTCCCCCGATCAGACATTCCAACCATCCTTATTAAAAGGCCTCAGCTATGTGGTATCAGCTTTTCGGAGAATCTGAAGCCCATGATGGCCTATTTAGAGAACTTGGGTGTCGACAAGAGCAAATGGGCCAAGGTTATATACAGATTTCCAGCATTGCTCACCTACAGCAGACAAAAGGTGAAGGCAACCACCGATTACCTATGCGAACTAGGTGTTTCAGAGAAGAATATAGGAAAGATTCTGACACGCTGCCCCCATATCATAAGCTATAGCATCGAAGATAAGCTCAGGCCTACAGCTGATTACTTCCAGTCGATAGGTATCGACGTTGCCTCTCTTATGCACAAATGCCCTCAGACTTTTGGACTAAGCATCGAGGCTAATCTGAAGCCGGTCACAGAGTTTTTTCTTGAAAGGGGTTATAGCACAGCAGAAGTGAGCACCATGGTTCACAGATATGGAGCTCTTTATACTTTCAGCCTGGTTGATAACTTGATACCCAAATGGAACTACTTCTTAACAATGGATTATCCAAAATCAGAGCTTGTCAAATTTCCTCACTACTTTGGCTATAGCTTGGAGGAGAGGATAAAACCTAGATACAGCCGGGTACGGGAATGTGGAGTGAAGCTGGTATTGAACCAGGTGTTGTCTGTTACCAACAGTCAGTTCGAGAAGATATTGGAGAAAAAAAGGGAAAAAATATTAGATGCTCAGTTTCCCCAGGGACAAAATAAATGACTTGCAAATTACTAAAAAGAACAGGTGCCGTGAACTGATACGGTAGCAGATTCTCGCATGAGTTCCACCCTATGTAGCCAGTCATTGGATCTCGGAAAGACACAGATAATGTTGTTAGGAGATGCCAGATCTGGTGCCTACTGCCTTAAAACTACATGGCAGCAGGGATCTCTTATATGTGATCCTAGCTTTAGCTTTGATCTTGCAACACTTGGTAGTTTTGCGATGTATATGTAACTACAGCATGATTACTAATGGTGCTTGTTTCATGCAAGATATCTCTCTCAGGTTTAGAAAGTGACAGTGTACAGTTTCATATCTCTACCTTAATTCAAATTAACTTTGTAGTTGGATCCATGTCTTCTATAACCTGGAATTGTATTATGTTCCCAAAGTTCCTATGATTGCATGGCAGCAACATCTGAAGTGGTAATAGCTCCTGCAAGAATGCAGGTGGTGTGGCAACATGGAATTGCTACTTGTGATTAATTTTATGGCTACAAAGGTCCAAAAGATAAAATTGAGGTAGAAAAATTGCATTATAAGAACATTAGGGACATAAGGATATGGTTATATATACATATATATATATAATATAAATCAAAGTATGTTAGGATAGATTAAGAAAAGAGCACAACGTGACAGCCAATACCTAAAACAAGCATAGTGATTCGTAGAGCACGTACGTCATCATAAAATACGCGGTCAAAATGTTTCGTTGACTTTGACTCTGTCCAGCTTGCTTAGTTGATTCCCTCAAATGAGTGGATGGGTCGTAACCTAAAATGGAAGCCAAGACTATTACACGGTGGAATAGTTCAAAGGACTTAGCAAACAAAATCCTCATTTGATGTCAATTTCTCTAGACTCATATTTGAGATGCAACTCGGATGAGTTTAGTCCCATCCAATTTTGACCCAAACAACATAACTTGACACCATACAATATATATATATATATATATATATATATATATATATATATATATATATATATATATTGTCATTTTGTTCTTTAATTATTTATTGCTTCTTTGAAATTCGTGTTTACTCTTTTTCAAATCATTTATAATTTATTATATTCTGACAAAAAAGAAGACCCAATTCTAAATTGGAGATAGAGCTGAGCCGGTCCGGTCCGGTCCGGTCCTGCCGGGTCTTATTGATTTGATTGGACCAGTCGTGGACCGGGTCCGATCTTCCACCACCTCTTGATTGAGCCACGCGCATCGTCGCGTTGACAAAACCAACGCCTCTTTCTGTTCCAGGAACATTTCAAGGAGGAGAAGAAGTATAAATCACATCCGATAACCACGCAATTGCTGTCCACGATTTGCCTGCTCGTCGTTCAGGTCATTTTTCTTCTTATTTCTTCTTTTCCTCGCATGATCTGATGTCTTCCTTTTCTTGTCTTCTTTTTTCTGTAATTATGTTCCTTTTGGTTCGATTCCCGGAACCGGAAGCAAATAATGTGCTTCTGCCGAGTCTTAATCTGTCGATTGATTGCTCAAGAAGCAAAATGCAGGAATCATGATGCTTAAATTTCTAATTTGTTTCCTCTATTGATGTTGTACCTCATGAAGAATGTAAAGTAAAAAGAGGTTTTTTTCCCCATCCGTTGATTATACTTAGCGGACTTCCTTTTAGATTTGGATGGTCTGGATGTTGTCAGTGATCTTTTGTTCTGGGACTGGAGTTGAATAGTTACCAAATTTGTGGATATGCTGCGAATGGTGGTTCTCGTGATCATGGAAGCAAATTAGTTTAAACTACTGAAGATGTCTGGTATTTCTTCCAAGATTAGGTGTTTTTGGGGATTTAGAGTCTCAATTGGTTAAATCTTCCGTTATCCCTTTTCTTTACATGGTTAATTCCATGGTAGATCACGTTATAGCTTATATTTCTATTTAGGGCACGTTAGATGGGAGTATCTATATGGTGACATATGCAGAGAAGCTTGTGAGTTTTAGGATGTAAAGAGTGTTTGACATCTCTTCCATATGTTATATCTATGTTTGCAGTGGAAAGGTATGGCATCCTGCCAAGAGAATATTTCTTCTTTTGTGTTCTGTGTGTCTAATGTCCTTGGTCCATCGGGGATATTCCACTTTTCTTTAAATTGTCCAGCTCATCTGAACTTCCAAGCAGCGTTCCTGGTTGCGAGTTGTGTTTGATGATGGACCTTGTTCGGAAGGCAAAAAAGTTGGATAATGATTATGAATTTCTTTTGTTGCAGGCATTCTTTTATTTAGTGTCTTTTGTTATTTTATAGTTCATTTTCTTGCTTAATTTTTCTTAAAGGAGGCCTTTCTGTGATCTAAACTTCTTTCTGCTTTCTAACGGACCACAAGTTGTGTTATTCTTTGTTTCCTTACTGGGCATTTGTTATAGTTGTTCCAATGAAATTTTATTAGATGCATGACGAAATATGAACCATTGAAATGATGCTGCATTCATAGCCATGATGGTTTGAAAATTTTAATTCAAGTTCCAAGTTCTAACACATAGCTTTTAGAGTTTTAGTAGAAGCTCCAAGAGTTTCATTACCATTTAACAAGCTCCAGGAGGTTTTGAAGCATTGAAATTTATCACTTTATTAATATAACATGCTAGCACGCAATATACAAGTCATCACTGCAAGAGCAACAATTCAATGGGAACAAAAAAAATCAATGATGTGGACAATTAGCCAAAAATAGCAGCTCATATATAACCTTTTCAGAAGTCAGTCTGACTTGGATGATATACCAATGTAGAGAAATAACGCCTTCAATTCGATGAATAACCTTTTGCAATTAACAATTGCTCAACAGTCCTTGATGGATCCTTGAGCTCCATCAAATCTGCTGGCTTTTCTTCCATGCATTTGCTGATGACTGTCATTTGACAATGTTCTTATTTGTCATTCTAATTTTTTTAGAGTTGCTGCCCATTTCCTTTGCCAAAAACATTAGTGCAGGGACATTTTTTGACTTCGCTAGATTTGTTGTCTTAGTTTAGATAAGGGGCATAGGCAACTAACCTTGAGTTTGAGGGTCGAGTTGCAGATATGTCAGTGTGGGTTTTAAAGCACTATTTCAGTTCACTGGTTCTTGACAATCTATTTTCACTATCTGTTGAATGATAAGGGCATGTTTAGCTTTTAGCTTAGCTAGTCCATTTGGAAACTTTGTGTGAGCCAAAATTGATCAAATGTTTTCTATCCACACAGCCTCTTGTATGGGCTTTTAGCTTAGCTTGAGGTTTTTTTACTAAATAAATGTTTTCTATTCACACACACACTGCCATCTGGTGGTGTTATTAATTCACTACTAGAAGTTACTTAAGTTCTTTAATTTTCCAACTATTTATTAGGATTTTTGTTATTTATGTTATTATTAACTTTTTTCAGGACACCTTTAGAAATGTCTTTGAATGTTAATCACTTGTGGTTAACACTTTTTATGTGTTTCACATGTATAGGTAAATCAAGGACTATTCAAGAATTTTTCTGGTTGTACAAGCGGATCTGAGGTTACGGAGAATGGGGTTAGTACTAATGTCTTAAATGGCTTTGTGGGCATTGATGATTTATTATTCTGTCATTTTTCTTCTTTTCAAGAATAATCAGTAGAATGTTGGTGGCATGATATTGCTATTAGTCATATGAAGTCTCTAAACCACATCACTTATATTGGATTACTCAAAGAATATGTGCTTCAATGCATCAAGACTTTCACTTTCCTTATCCTTGCATAAATGATGATGGATATAATATATTCTGATCATGCTGTTAGATGTTTATTTTGGATTTCATTATAACCATGAAAAATTTTCAATTTAAAGAGTGAGAAAAATGGAATATCTTAGATGGATATATTATTGAAATATAAAATTATTTAGCCCATGCACAAGAACTCTACTTACAAGTACTGTAGGACTATATTCAACAAAGATAAAGTTTCATATGTTGAAGATTTAATTTATTGAAAGTTAAATTGCTCCCCCTGGATTGTCCAATATAATTACCGAACTTGTAGAATGTTAACATTAGCTAAAAGGGGCTATTTTGGACTATACTTAGTTTGACATGTAGTAAGTATCTCTTGAAATTAAATGAACAAAATACCCGTATTTATTAGATTTATGAATAGACTCCTGCTGTCCCCTTTGATCCTCCATTCTACTGAAGACTCCAACTTCCATCACAATCAGTCATCTCCTTGTTTCTTCCTATTCTCTCTCTCTATTCAGTCCTAGGTGTATTAGCCACAATGGTGTTGCATCTTTTTCTTTGTTACCATCAGTGTTTTAGACATAGTGTGTTTTCTATAATTCCCATATAAGTTGAGGTGATTTATGAGTAGACTAGGTTAATGTACTAAATCCAAGGGAAAGTAAGTTTTAAAAACACAAATTAACAACGCCAAGTGGGATGTGACCTAATTTGAGAATCTTTATTGAAGAAATATTTTCTGATAATTGAGGTTCAAATTCTAATATCATGAAACTGGAGGGTTCAAAATAAAACTTCTTTTTAATAGATTAAGTTGCAGGGATATCAGGTTAGGTGCAACATGGTTTATGTATTGCCAATTAATGTGTCTTTGTGATGACTGAAAAATTATGCTGATCTAGGCTCAATCATCAATATCATCCACCATAACTGAATTATAGAGGTGTTTTTTATGCTGCTTTGGCCAATGTAAGTAATAGTCTTGATTATACTTTACAAATAATAATACTGTCGAAACAAAAGAGTAAAATATTATTTTATTATTGATAGCATGAAGATACACTTAAAATTTTTATGATATTTGATGAAGAAAAGGGATATTATGGATGTCTACTCCAAGAGAGAAATAGGGTGAGATGGAATGAGAAATGAGATTGCGTAAGCAATTATAAAAGCCACTGGTTTGATGGAGTGAAATTAAATATGAGAAGACAGAAAGTGATCTAAAGTTCATTGAGAAAAGGAGTTTAATTGATACAAGAACAGAGACAGAGAGAGAAAAGGCATAAATCTATATATTTGACACTTAAAACCATCAAAAGAGTGGTCCGAATATGTCTACCTTAATAAAACCGTTTGAAGGATCTAGCTGCATCTTCCCTTTTGTGTGGCCAGGATGAAATGGGGCCAAATAAACTTGATCAAAGTTTGGAGAGCAAAGGCCTTGATATCTTATATCTGAACAGAGACAAATTTGCGACTTTTAATTTCAAATAGATATTCACATTTCACATCACCTTAATTTTGTGTTGTTCTTGGTTCTATTTTTTGAGGGCCAGCCTTGGAACAATTATAAGGTTGTCTCTTTGTGATTTTGGTGAACATTATTCGAGTCATGGAAGCAGTGATAACGCTATGTATATTGACCTTCTCTATGCCCTGCATTGGCAGGATTTTCATATGCTGGTTCACCCTTTTTTATCTTAGTTTTCCTTTTTCCTGTTCCTATAGTCTTTTGTTTTCTTCTTTTGTTTTCCTTTTTGCTTTTATCTATATATGACTATGTAGCCCCTGAGATCCGGTATTAAGGTTTCTGCCTTCTGACATTCTTGTTTTCTGGTATAAAAGGAACTAAAGATCATCTTGACTTATCCCTTTCCAGTTTTTATGGACTGTTGAAGTATGTTCTTGGTCATGCTTATGCAACACATCAACAGACTATAAAGAATAGCAAAAGGAATTAGGTTTAGTGGATAATATCGTGATCAAATAGAAGATCCTTTATGAGCTCATTTAATTATATAAAATTTTTGGAAAGCAACCAGATTCTTGTTTCTCAAATTGTTTGGATTTACAGTGTGTTGTGTTGCTGAAATGGTTGTTTGTCTTTTCCTTCTAACTGTTGTGTACTCCTTTTTCTTGTCGTTGTTTTCAGGAGTCGAGTGACATGGAATGAGGCAAACTTGTATGAGATTGAAGCAAATAAACCAGTGAGGCAGAAAATTACCGAACCTAAGACACCCTTTCACCCTAGGGTGGATGATGATGGTCTATTTGTGAAGCTTGATTGATCTAAATTCCATTTTTAATTTTGTATCATGTAACATGCTAATGATTGACCATAAATAAATTTATTAAAATACTCAGTATTTGCTGGTGCAGGCTCACTGTCACCAAGACATGCATTTGATGAATGCTTGGATGACGAAGAAGATATTCAAACTGATTTGGATAATGTGGCTCCTCCAAGCAGAAGGTATTTTGAGAATAGGGGTTGGCCTTCTTCAGGAGATGAAGCCAATGCCATGGATGAAGATGAAGGTTGGTTGCTACTTCTTTCAAATATTTAGCTTCAGCCTTCATCATCTAGTTGCAAATATTAGTTGCATTTTTAGTTATAATTTCTCGATTTTGTGGCTCGACAGATGCTCGTACTTCCCAAATATATCATGATTCTATTACTGATGCATGGTCTTCGTCTTTCATTCTGTTTTCCCAACTTTGTATTTGTTTATAACCTACTAACTCATGTGAACTTTGTTGTAAATCTTTCTTTTTCTTTTTATCTTGACTCATTAACGTTAGTCCTGGAAAAATTTTTTAGTACTTGTGGTGTCAAAAGCAGTACTCATGTTGTGGTGCATAAATCCAGTGTCCTCGCATGGTCCCTTGTTTTACTTTGTCCTCTGATTTGTCATGCCATAACCCAAATGGACAAGTGGTTGATGTCTTCCAGGATCATGTGACTAATCCAAGGGTTGCATGTTGGCTGTCTTTTGCATGCATTATTGTTACCATAGTTTTGTCCAACTCCAACTGGCGAACAAAATACGTCAATGATATCTTCACCATTTTAACTCCTGATTTATATCAGATTCTGAGATGGATAAAGCAAGATTAAGTTTCAAGGAGCACCGGAAGGCACATTACGATGAATTCCGAAAGGTAAAGGAGCTCATGCGAACAGGATCCCTTATAGATGATGAGGTTGAGGAAGATGGTGACAGCCAGGAAAATGCTACAGAGAAACACAGTTCACCTTCTGCCCTGGTTGATATGGGGAAGAATTGACATAGCTCAAAATGGTGTACCAAATAAACTGAATCAAAGAAATCACTCCCTTGATGATGGAGTCTCCTACCTGGTTTTAATGGCAACGACAACCAACGACATTTACTTTGAAATCGAGGCAGTCAATATTACTTTCTGATGTATGCTATATTCATTGAGATTCGAGTGAAATATGTAACATTGACTTTGTCACTTTCCTGTTTGGTAATTCTGGAGTTCTGATTAAAAGAAAAGGAGTATTGATGTTCTTTTGGAGAAACCTTCTATATATGTCATGTATGCCAGCAGTTATTCAAGAATTTTCATGTCATAAAATCTCCACAATGCATGCATGCCCTTTTTTCTTGGACAAGAAAAAACTCACTTCTTTTGTGTTCTATGCATTTAAATTTTTCCTTGGAAAGAAAATGCAATAGTTGCTCGAGTATGATTGATGATAGCTATATGTGGTATGTTCTTCTAAGAATCTGATGAAACTAGGCTCCATTTATATTACAAGATCTATGAGACTGCGTTGACTTTCAATTTCCTAATTTGATGACTTGTGCTGCCAACAATACATAGCTTATAAAATAAATCGAGCGAGTCCTTTCCTAATAGTTTATAAATAAGGATGCAAATATCTCTTAGTACACAATAATAATTGTGTTACGGTCGATCAAATCTTGAACTAAGATTCATTAACTAATCAATCTTGTTTTGTTGAAGTCAAAATATATTTCACGAATAGAAACGGGACACGAGTCGAATCCGAATCTTTCTACGAATACGGATAAAAAGAATACTGGTCTTAAATAAATATTGTAATTGAACCGTATACGGGTCGGATTCAAAAGCGGCTCCGACCGTCCCTCGGAAATCGAGGACTTCAAACTCGTCGGTCTAAGTCCGATCGAGTTAATCGAACGGCTGAGATCTCTCCACAAAGGCCCGACTCGTGGCATATAAATAACGACGGGAGGCTGCTGCAGAATCTTGTAGTATCTGCTCGGTCTCTTCGTCACTCGGCTTCCGGAGGTCGCGTGGGCGCGTCTTGGCGAGGCGGGAAAGAGAGAGAGAGAGAGAGAGAGAGAGAGGCGGCGATAGGCGACGGAGAGGTAATGTACGATTCTTGTGGTTTTTCTTGCGAGGATCCGCGGTGGCTTCGTCATTTTGGATTGGGTTCTCGTCTTGGTTCTCCTTCGACTTGGATCTTGGTTTCCTCGGATCTGCCCGTCGTCTGATGGCTTCGCTTGTTTAGGATTGGAGGAATATTTTGTCTTTGATGGAGTAATCAGTTTTTTGGATTATGCTTGCGAGTTTTCTTTTGGCGCTGCAGAGTAAAGAACTGTTTTCGCTCCGTCTTCTCCTGATTTTATATAAGGGTTTCTACTGTTCGATGTGTTTTTGATTAGGATGGAGGGAAAAGGGAAGGGGGAGCTCGGATGCAATTTTAAGGTATTTATAGGGTGTTGGCTTCCGGTGTTGCAAGAAGTAGCCTTTGCTGGTACGGTTGATGGGTAAACGGGGGAAATTTTGGTGTCGGATACGAGTTGTATCCGTGATAGTTCTGGCGCAATTGTGCATAATTGAGTGTAAGGATCGCCTATTGGAAAAAATGTTCTGAATAATGTATGTATGTCTCTGAGTTTATAACTGATGTGCTTTTCTTGATGATAGACTGCAAAAAGACAATAATAAAATACACAAGAACATTGTTTTACAGCAAGTGGATTGCAACCATTGCAAAATGGATAACCTTTTCCAATTTTTTGAATGCTTGATGTCAACAGTTTCGTTGGATTGACCGAATGGCACCGACAGTTGCGTTGGAATGCACTAAGCAAAGCAGATGAAGAAGAGTTCACAGGACCGTTCTTCTAAAGCAAAGGGGAAACCACCGAGATCGGCTCAAGGACATGGTTCTGGCTCCATCCCTGATTGCCAGCATGATTCCAAGAAAATGGTTGAAACTGAAGGTTCTGGCAGCGCAATACGTGCTAATTCCTCAGGCAATTCCAGTTCTCCAAAGAGGAAGAAGTGCGTAGATGTAACTGTGGACAGATGCAATGGCTTCAATGCCCCACTGGAGGTGATTTCTTTGTCCAAGAAATCTGGTTCCAAAAGAAAGACACCGACAATGAGATTAAGATCAGAGCCAGATCATATTGAGATGCTCCGAGAGAAACTGCCCTCGAAGAGTGTGACAACTGTTGGCATTAGCACTTCATCTTCGATCCATGGGAGTGAGAAGATACGTGAGCAGAACATTGGCCCCGAGATGAAGGGTGGGTTATCAGGAAAATCCGTGCCTTCAAAAACAGCCCCCATGAGTGACACATACTTAGCGCTGATGAAACAATGTGAGACACTTCTCAAGAAATTATTGGCACACCATTTTGCTTGGGTCTTTGACCACCCAGTGGATGCAGTGAAGTTGAATATTCCAGACTATCACACTATCATTAAGCGTCCAATGGATTTGGGTACCATCAAGAGTAAATTAACCTCGGGTGCTTACTCCAGTCCATGCGGTTTTGCCTCAGATGTGAGGCTTACTTTTAAGAATGCAATGACATATAACCCACCCAGTGATGATGTCCATATCATGGCAGTTACACTGAGCAAGTTCTTTGAATCTCGGTGGAAATTTATAGAAAAGAAGTTAGCTGCAGCAGATGCACATATTGAAAAAGAAACCCAATCAAATAAGGCAGAGTTGTCCAAGAAAAGGAAAATGTCTCCTCCTGACTACAATAGTCCTGTGCCCGAGAGGAAAAAATCCAAGATGATGGATGAGGAGAACCAAAGTCTGAACAGATGCCTGGAGTCTCTTCTGGCAGACCTGTCAGATCACATTATCGATTTTCTGAGCTGGCAGAGTGGCAATATGAACCAGAGCATTGAGGAAATAAAAACTCATATTGATTCATTTTGTGATGACACACTCTTTAAGTTACGGACGCTTTTGGATAACTATATAAAGGAAAGAGAGGTGCAGCAACCGGTGAAAACTGAACGTGTGAATGACACTGGTGTCTGCACCTCACAGATGCGTCCTTGCAAAGGTTTACCTCCATGCTTGTGCATTTGCTTCTTTGAGTGCGGGACGTAGTTATGTGAGTTTGAAAATTAAGCTTGTCTTCTTGTTCATTTACAGGCAATGATCTTGATGATGAGGATGTAGATATCTGTGATGGTGATCTTCCTGTGCCTAGTTACCCGCCTTTGGAGCTACAAAAGGACTTAGGTGCTGCAACCACCGAGTACAGCAGTTCAAGTGGTTCCAGTAGTGATTCAGGTTCTTCTAGTGGTGTGTACATTCTCACATGCATTAAAATATGTGCATTTTTCTTGAATTCATTTTGTTTTAGCTGATTGATTTAATTTCTGCTTTCTAGTTTTTTTTAACATTGGTTTTATTCCATTCACCAATCAGCAACATCTTCATGCAATTACATTTAAGTCGAACTTTGGCCTTGAAGTGATTATAATGTGCCGTGATAGTTTTTTGAATATGTTAGACAGTGCCTGGGTTTGTTGTGTCTTTTGATTGTAATAATTTTCAAGTATGCAAAGATCATTTTGTTTTTTTACACCATCTGAAGCTGGTGATGAAATGATCATAGCAAAATTCATAAGATGTTTTTGAGGACCATAGCTTGTGAGTTTCGGTGTCATGCCAACAGTTACTACTCTATTTTCTTTCATGCGTATCTAGCTTTAGTTGAGAGGATGTGGGCAGAATGTTATAAAAGCGCAGATCTCCACTACAGGAGTAGTGTTAATTCCCTTTCCTGCCTGCATGATATGACCAATTATTTCAAGTGTTCCATAGATATTGGCTTGGTTGTTCTGATCGATTTGACAACTAACATGGTGCACTCTCATTTTTGCACTGAAAATTACTTTTCCATTAGTTTGATTTTTAAGATATATAGAGCAGCTTTTATGTGTTCTATCTTTCGAGTGATAAGAGAAGGCAAGCACTTTCTCACTTTTGTATATGATTATAATTATTTGTTTGTTTTGGAACCTTTTACTACTTGGAACCTCCTATGCTGAATATGGGCAGATGTGTGTTTTTGTTATGGAATACTGCATTTGTTCATAAATGATATGTATTACTTAGTTTGCTCTAGCATGGCCTAAGATATTTGTAGCAGGAGTAAAATGCATTACTCTTCTAGTTGCCGAAAAGTGGTTGTTGATCTATGGCTCTATTGGTTGGAAGAGAGCTATGGATAATACCTTTCCATTGTTTCATAAATAGATAGGCTGTGGTTAACCTTCTCGATGTTAAGTCAATTTTTTTGTTTTCTTTATCATTTGTAGTGACCTTTGCTGAAAAGTTTCACAGCATAAGACACAAGTTTAGTAGTTTTACATTTTGTTGACAACTATTGTAGATTCTGACTGAATGTTTCTATTTTCAGACTCCGACAGTTCTAGTGGAAGTGATTCAGAGGATGAGGTTTCTATTCCAAAAAGTGCTGCCGAGGTATGTCTAACAACATGACACTATTTTGCAAGGTGTATAAATGCTTCCTGGATGATGGACATAGGTTGTTTTATAGTTAAATACCCTCTCCACTTGTTGGTCTTTCTTTTTATGCACTATGCTTGGCCAGTCTTTTTCTGGTGTTATTTTAAGAATTAAAACATTCAAACTTGATATTTCTATTTCTGTTGTTCTGTATCAGGAAAATTCAGGAAATAAGGCATGTTCAGATCATGAGAAAAGTGACATAATAAAGCCATTTGATGTAAATAGTGAGTTCTTGATATGCTTAACCTTCAATTTGAGAGGAAAGAAATCAAATATATTGGTTCCTCGTTCTGCATTGGATGGGCTTTACTGGTGCTATTGGCAAAATGTAGGACCTTTGAGTGGGTTGACTCCGTCCGAGATGGATGTTGATTCAAAGCCCTTGTCAGTTGATTCTGATGGGTGTCAAGAGGGTAAGCATGAATTTATAAGATATTTTAGTGATTCAATGGTGCTTATCTTTGCCCTCTGGAACTTTTAGGGGAGCATGCTTCATCTGAGAGGAAAGTCTCCTCAGAAAAGCTATATAGAGCAGCCTGCCTGATGAGCCGTTTTGCCGACACAATTTTAAAAGCTCAGAAGTCTCTTGACCAGGTTGGTTAAACAGAGGTCGTTAATCTGCTCCAACTTCAGTGTTTTTGCTCCTTTTCCTGTAGCCTTCTCCTTTATATCACTTGGCAGTTTATATCTATTGCTATTCTCAGGCTGATAGGGTGGATCCTGAAACACTGCAGCGTGAGAGGGAGGAAATTGAGAGGCAGCGAAGGGAAGGTAACAATGGTTATCACCTTTAATCTCTTTGAGCTAGATATCAAAGTTCGTTTTGCTGAGAAACTTTTGTTCTCTATGGGAATAGAGAGAGCAAGGCTTCAAGCAGAAGCTAAGGCTGCTGAAGGTGCTCGTAGACGAGCAGAAGCAGAAGCTGCAGCAGAAGCTAAGCACAGAAGAGAGCGTGAGAGGGAAGCGGCACGTCAGGCCTTGTTACAGGCATGTACTTGTTTCCGTTTGGTGATCTTTTTTCAATATCATTTGTCCTATGTATTCTTTTGACATTAATGCAAATACTTGTGACATTATTGCAGATGGAGAAGACAGTGGAGATAGATGATTATCATCTGGTTCTTAAAGATCTGGAAATTCTTACAAGAACGCCCATGTCCTTCGATGAGAAGTGCCCAGGTCATTCTCTGGATGATGTAGAAGATTTCAGATTTGGAGGGAGTAACCCGATGGAGCAACTTGGGCTATTCTTGAAAGTGTATGATGAAGAAGATGAAGTGGATGACATTCGTCGGGATCGGAAGTCAAGTTCTTCCTCCTAGGAGGACATGGTGCTGCACTAGCTGCATGAAAGGTACCAGATGACGAACTGTCCTTTTATGAAATGTACATAGAGAGGGTTGAATGCAGTTTGCATCTGTGCCGGGGAGCATTGCCTTGTAATCCGAAATCAAAGCGATGCATGGCTAGTTAAAGATAGATTGGTTTTCATACTCATATACATCTTCTCAGAACTGTAAAAGGAGCTGACTACTAAAGTCAAAAGAAGAATCCTTCATTCTTGTCTCATCAGATGTGATTTTTTTTTTTGATGCTGAAATGAATACTAATTGTAAAGGATCTTTTTGTTCTTTCTTCTTTTCGTGTTACTCCTTAAATTGGAATTGTAAGAGACTGAAAGAAAACTAGTGCTCACTTCTGTGAGCTTGATACTGTGTTCAGGTTCACATCATGACCTCTGTTTATTGCATAAACCTTCAAAGGCTGAGTTGTTAGCTTCTGGTTCACATCATGATCATGTAGTGTTGTCACTGCTAAGTTGTCTCCCAGATTGCCTTTGTGGTTTATGTTGTTGCATGTGAAAGCAGTGGATGTATGGTTTTATGGTTGACTTGGAGCAATCTATGCAAAGTTAGAGAGGTGTTGACTTGGAGCAGCAGCAGCAGCAAAGTAAATGAAAATGAATATTAACATCCTAAATGCAAAATCTGACAAGGTTTTATGGTTGCATCGAAAAGAGGCACAGACTCGTTTTGACCGACGCATTGTGGAACGTCCAACGTGTCAATGCCAAAGTGGAGATGGAAAGGCAAAGATATTGACCAATGGAAGCTTCTGAGAAGATACCGACCAATCCCGACGAATCCGAATCTTATAAGAATCTGCATAAACCGTATACACGTCGGATTCCGACCGCCCCTCGGAGATCTCATCAGAACCGTCGGATCGAGTTAATCGAACGACTGCGATCTTAGAGGAATATAAATAGGGAGGGGCGGGCATGGAATCTTGTAGTGTCGTCTCGCTCTCTTCGTCTCTCGGCTTTGGGAGATCGCGTGGGCGCGTCTCGGCGAGGCGGCGACGGGCGAAGGCGACAGAGAGGTAGTGTACGATTCCTATGGTTTTTCTTGCGAGGATCCACGGTGGCTTCGCCATTTCGGCTCGGGTTCTCGTCTTGATTCTCCTTCGAGATCTGCCCGTGGTTCATGGCCTCGCTTGTTTAGGATTGAGTTCAAGAATTTGTGCTTGATGGAGTGATCAATCTTTTGGATTCTGGTTGCGAGTTTTGTTTTGGCGCTGTACTGTTTTCGCTCCGTCTTCTCCTGATTTTATATAAGGGTTTCTACTGTTCGATGTGTTTTTGATTAGGATGGAGGGAAAAGGGAAGGGGAAGCTCGGATGCGATTTTAGGGTATTTTTAGGGTGTTGGCTTCCGGTGTTACAAGAAGAAGCTTTGATTTGCTTTTGCCGGTGCGGTCGATTGGTAAACGGGGGAAATTTTGGTGTAAAGTTCGCCTATTCGATAAAAGGTTCGTAATGATGTATGTATGTATGTCTCTGAGTTTATAGCTGATGTGATTTTCTTGATGATAGACTGCAATCAGACAAGAATAAAATCCACAAGAACATTTTTTTTATTACAGTAAATGGATTACAACCTTTGCAAAATGGATAACCTTTTGAGTTTCTACAGTTTCGTCGGACCGACCGAATGGCACCTGCAGTTGCGTTGGAATACACGAAAGCAAAGCGGATGAAGAGAAGTTCACAGGTCCTTTCTTCCAAAGCAAAGGAGAAACCACCGAGATCCTCTCAAGGATATCGTTCCGGCTCCATCCCTGATTGCCAGCATGATTCCAAGAAAATGGTTGAATCTGACGGTTCTGGCAGTGCAATACGTGCTAATTCCTCTGGCAATTCCAGTTCTCCAAATAGGAAGAAACGCATAGATGTAAATGTGGACAGATGCAATGGCTTCAATGCCCCACTGGAGGTGATTTCTTTGTCGAAGAAATCTGGTTCCAAAAGCAAGACACCGAGATTAAGATCAGAGCCAGAACATTTTCAGATGCTCCGAAAGAAAGTGCCCTCGAAGAGTGTGACAACTGTTGGCATTAGCTCTTCATCTTCGATCAATGGGAGTGAGAAGATACGTGGTCAGAGCATTGGCCCCCAGATGACGGGTGGGTTATCAGGGAAATCTGTGCCTCAAAAAACAGTCCCCGTGAGTGACTTGCTGATGAAACAATGCGAGGCACTTCTCAAGAAATTAATGTCACACCAGTTTGCTTGGGTCTTTGACCACCCAGTGGATGCAGTGAAGTTGAATATTCCAGACTATCACACTATCATTAAGCGTCCAATGGATTTGGGTACCATCAAGAGTAAATTAACCTCGGGTGCTTACTCCAGTCCGTGGGGTTTTGCCTCAGATGTGAGGCTTACTTTCAAGAATGCAATGACATATAACCCACCCAATGATGATGTCCATATCATGGCTGTTGCATTGAGCAAGTTCTTTGAATCTCAGTGGAAATTTATTGAAAAGAAGTCAGCTGCAGCAGATGCACATATCGAAAAAGAAACCCAATCAAATAAGTCGGAGTTGTCCAAGAAAAGGAAAATGCCTCCTACTGACTACAATGGACCTGTGCCCGAGAGGGAAAAATCCAAGATGATGGATGAGGAGAAACAAAGTCTGAACAGATGCCTGGAGTCTCTTTCGGCAGACCTATCAGATCACAATATCGATTTTCTGAGATGGCAGAGTGGCAATATGAAGCAGAGCATTGAGGAAACCAAAATCCATAATGATTCCTTTTGTGATGACAAACGGACTCTTTTGGATAACTATATAAAGGAAAGAGAGGTGCAGCAACCGGCAAAAACTGAACGTGTGAATGACACTGGTGTCTGCACCTCACTGATGCATCCTTGCAAAGGTTTACCTCTTTGCTTGTGCATTTGCTTCTTTGAGTGCGGGATGTAGTTATGTGGGTTTGAAAATTAAGCTTGTCTTCTTGTTCATTTACAGGCAACGATCTTGATGATGAGGATGTAGATATCTGTGATGATGATCCTCCCATGCCTAGCTACCCACCTTTGGAGCTACAAAAGGACTTAGGTGCTGCAACTACCGATTACAGCAGTTCAAGTGGTTCCAGTAGTGATTCAGATTCTTCTAGTGGTGTGTACATGCTCACATGCATTAGAATTTGTGCATTTTTCTTGAATTCATTTTCTTTTAGCTGATTGATTTAATTTCTATTTTCTAGTTTTTATTTCGCATTGGTTTTATTCCATTCACCAAACAGCAACATCTTCATGCAATTACATTTATGTCGAACTTCATGGCCTTGAAGAGATTATGATGGGCCGTGATAGTTTTTGAATATGTTAAGAGTGCCTGGGTTTGTTGTATTTTTTTATTGTAATAAATTTCAAGTATAAAAATATCTTTTTGTTTTTCTTTTACTCGTCTGAAGCTGGTGATGAAATGACCATAGCAAAATTCATAAGATGTTTTTGAGGACCATAGCTTGTGAGTTTCGGTGTCATGCCAACAGTTACTGCTCTATTCTCTTTCATGCATATCTAGCTTTAGTTGTGGAGAGGATGTGGGCTGAATGTTATGATAGTGCTAGATCTCCACTACAGGAATAGTTATAGTTCTCTTTCCTGCCTGCATGGTATGACCAATTGCTTCAAGTATTCCATAAATATTTGCTTGGTTGTTCAGATCAATCCGACAACTAACATGGTGCACTCTCATTGTTCACATTGAAAATTGCATTTCCATTAGTTTGATTATTCGGATATATAGAGCAGATTTTATGTACTATATCTTTTTAGTGATAAGAGAAGGCATGCACTTTTTCACTTTTGTATATGATTATACTAAATCTGTTTGATTTGGACCCTTTTACTAGTTGGAACCTCCTATGCTGAATAATGGCAGATGTTATGGAATACTGCATCTGTTCATAAATGATATGTATTACTTAGTTTGCTCTAGCATGGCCTAAGATATTTGTAGCTGGAGTAAAATGCATTACTCTTCTAATTGCTGAAAAGTGGCTGTTGATCTATGGCTCTATTGGTTGGAAGAGAGCTATGATTAATACATTTCCATTGTTTCATAAATAGATAGGCTGTGTGGTTAACCTTCTCGATGTTAAGTCAAATCTTTTGTTTTGTTTATCATTTGTGGTGACCTTTGCTGAAAAGTTTCACAGCATTAGACATAAGTTTAGTAGTTTTACATTTTTTCGACAACTATTATAGATTCTGATGTTGTATGTTTCTATTTTCAGACTCCGACAGTTCTAGTGGAAGTGATTCAGAGGATGAGGTTTCTATTCCAAAAAGTGCTGCCGAGGTATGTCTAACAACATGACACTATTTTTGCAAGGTGTATAAATGCTTCCTGGATGAGGAACCTAAGTTATTTTATAGCTAAATACCCTCTCCTCTTGTTGGTCTTTCTTTTTATGCACTATGCTTGCCCATTCTTTTTCTGGTGTTATTTTAAGAATTAAAACATCCAAAAACTTGAAATTTCTATTTCTGTTGTTCTGTATCAGGAAAATTCAGGAAATAAGGCATGTACCGATCGAGAGAAAAGTGACATAAGAAAGCCATTTGATGTAAATAGTGAGTTCTCGATATGATAAACTTTCAATTTGAGAGGAAAGAAATAATGTATATTTGTTCCTCATTCTGCATTGGATTGACTTTACTGGTGCTATTGGCAACATGTAGGACCTTTGAGTGGGTTGACTCCCTTGGAGATGGATGTTGATTCAAAGCCCCTATCAGGTGATTCTGATGGGTGTCCAGAGGGTAAGCATGCTTCATCTGAGAGGAAAGTCTCCCCAGAAAAGCTATATAGAACAGTCTGGCTGAAGAGCCGTTTCGCCGACACAATTGTAAAAGCTCAGAATTCTCTTGACCAGGTTGGATAAACAGAGGACGTTAATCTGCTCCAACTTCAGTGTTTTTGCTCCTTGGCATGTAGCCTTCTCCTTTATATCTCTTAACAATTTATGTGTATTGCTATTCTCAGGCTGACAGGGGGGATCCTGAGAAACTGCAGCGTGAGAGGGAGGAAATGGAGAGGCAGCGAAGGGAAGGTAGCAATGGCTATTACCTTTGTTCTCTTTGAGCTAGATATCAAAGTTCATTTTGCTGAGAAACTTTTGTTCTCTATGGGAATAGAGAGAGCAAGGCTTCAAGCAGAAGCTAAGGCTGCTGAAGATGCTCGTAGACGAGCTGAAGTGGAAGCTGCAGCAGAAGCTAAGCGCAAGAGAGAGCGTGAGAGGGAAGCGGCACGTCAGGCCTTGTCACAGGCATGTACTTGTTTCTGTTTGGTGATCTTCTTTCAATGTCTTTTGACATTAATGCAGATACTTTTGACGTTACTGCAGATGGAGAAGACAGCGGAGATCGATGATTACCGTCTGGTTCTTAAAGATCTGGAAATTCTTACAAGAATTCCAGCTGGAAGAATACCCATGTCCCTCAATGAGAAGTGCCCAGTTCATTATTTTCTGGATGATGTAGAAGATTTCAGATTTGGAGGGATTAACCCTATGGAGCAACTTGGTTCATTCATGAAAGTGGATGATGAAGAAGAGGAAGAGGGTAAAACTAAAAGGGCTCCTCCGAGTGATGTTGAGGAAGGAGAGATCGTATGACACTATGTACCTTTGCATGGCTTTGGTTTTGCTCTTGGTTTAAAAGCACATGGTGCTGCAGGAGCCTCATGAAATGTACATAGACAGGGTTGAATGCAGTTGGTGTCCAACAAAGGGAGCGTTGCCTTGTAATCCAAAATCAAAGTGATGCATGGGCTTGTTGTTTGTGAAGATTGGTTTTCATACTTATGTACATCTTCTCTGAACTCTAAAAGGAGCAGACTACTAAATTCAAAAGAAGAATTCCTTCATTCTTGTCTCACTGGATGTGATTTTTCTGTTCTCTGTGCTGAAATGAATGCTACTTATAAAGGGTTTCTTTCTCTTTCTTCTATTTTGTGTTGCTCCTTCAATTGGAATTGTAAGAGAATGAAAGAAAACTAGTGCTCACTGTTGTCAACCTGATACTGTGTACAGGTTCACATCATGAGCTATGTTTATTGCCAAAACCTTTAAAGTTTGCTTTAAATTACTGTTTCTGTGATCATGTAGTTGTCACCTCTTAGTTGTCTTTGTGGTCTTATATTAAGGAATGTGAAAACAATGTCTCTGTTATAATTCCCCGATGAGGAGCAAAAGAATGCATCATGCTTAACCGATAATTTTCCGATGAGTGCATTCTTAGACAACTATGCTCTCGATCGAAATTAGAGTGAGCGAGTCGATATCCTTTCAAAGCCTTTTAGAACCTCCTATAATTTTATGCCAAATTTTGTTCCTCCATTGTCGTCTCGATAATACTTTCATCTTAATGAGTAATTTAAATCCTAAAATTAAATTATATTTTGATTGTGACATTAAACCCTTGAATAAAATTAAGTTATAATACTCCTAATTTGATCCCACATGACAATAGGAGGATACTTACATATAATGTGCACAATTAACTTGAACGTAGGATATATGAGTGTCATATCTAATGTAAATTATTTTAATGCAATACATGAATTAATCATAAAATAGTATGTCCGACTCTCGAGTTCCATTACATAACTTAATATGATATATAAATGTGTTAAAAGATATTGTTATCATCTAATGTGCATGATAGTGTTAATGTGAGACATAAATATGTCATGATTTGGTAGCTTTTGGTAAAAGATAGGCTAAGAAGTCCCATCAATAACTCAATTGCATAGTGGTGAGACTCCATCAAGAGGAAGTAATATATGTTCTATTCCAAGATACATGTTTTATCTTTCTTGCAAACTCAAGTTTCTTTTATTATTGTTGTTAGCATTTCTGGAATGTGTCTCATCTAATTTTGTTGGTACAAAACCCCTCTATCTTATTTCCCAAAATAATACTCAATCATGGAATATATTCCCATTATCTCTCAACTTCTTACCCTTTTATTTTTCTGTATAGCTTTTTATTCCCTTTTAACCAAAAATAGTGGTCTGATCCTGAGAGCTTTAATTGATTAAGGAATACTTTTTGTTTTGATGGAATTAGGTATGTTGATACATTATAAGTCCTTAATTGAATATGAAGGAATTGAAAGTGAGATATCTCATATTTGGTTAGAGTGTATCACATAGTTATGCATTATTGGATGGATGTAATCACAAGAAGAGATGTTTTACATTTATTAGAGAGTTTTAATGCTTATGTGTTAGATGAATGCATCAGAGATATTTTATATAATTAAGTTACATTAAATATTTTGATGCTTATATCTCGATATATTATTCGAGGATATATTTTGTTAGATTACGATAGTCGATGTTTTAATTCCTTTTATCAATACATTGTATTCATCAAACACTTAGTTATTTATGTCCCAAATAGATTATAACAAATCGAATAATTTGTTCGATCATAATTGGACTACTAATTATTTTATTTAAGAATAGTTAATATATATATATATATATATTATATTATGAAAGTGAGTCAATTAATTTTTACTTAACAAAGTAGGTCAAATATTTTCTTCCATGAAAAACAAATTAAGTTGGATATTTTTTTTCTCAATGAGAGTGAGTTGAGAATTTTATTCATATATGATAAAAAAAAAATTTAGGGGAGAGCTTAAGAGTTTATAATGGATTTTAAAAGTTTGGAACCTATTTATAATATCTGTTCAGTAACTATTGATAGCCACAAAATATTAAATATTTCAATTTAAAAGTATTATCTTTTAAATATCATGCTAATTGATTGCTGATGACTCCTACATCAAATTATAAATATTTTTCTTAATTTAATAAAATTAAAAAATGATGTATTAATATTACACTTTGTGTTAATAATATTTGCTACAACTAAAAATTAGAATATTTAATGAATAATGAATATTCACAACATTGCGATTTAATTTATTGGATTGAAATTGTCATCCCTATCTTTCTTCCACCAATCCACTCCCCTTTTATTTCCTACGTGGAAATAACCACAGACTCACAGTGGACGACAGCTCGGCGCACCCGAAGCAGAAGGGGCTCATCTCTTATCTGCCGACGTGGCGGGCCGGGAGCGCACAGAGCTAATTCCCTCCCATCAATTCCGTCGATCCGACGGCTCAAGATCATCCCAAACCCACCGCGCCTGATCCTTCATACATCCAACGGCCAGGGTCACTCCAGAGCTACCGCCACGTGTCGGTAAACATGGAGAGCAGAAACCGCCCGCGTCCCCTCAAGTCAGACACGTGTCCGTCTCAGACTACCCTCTGCCCTTCCCTCCTCGAGTAGTAATAATAATATGCAATAAAGGCTAAATTGCGATCATACCCTTTACATTGTAATTATTCTCATCAAGTCCTTCTCTCGCACAACGTGTAATGTTACACGAACTTTAAAGCTAAAGAGTTTTACATGCATGCCCCTGAGTTTAGAATCCATGAACTAAGATGGAATTTTGGATCTTCGAGGAATGGATTTGTAATTGCGGCCTTCGCAAGGGTGATGTACGCAAAACCCATTAATGCTAAATTGGGGCGACGCGTCGTGTTCTTTTTCGATTGCTACGCTTTCGTCCCTTCCCCCTGGCCGCAGAGAGAGGAGAAATAGAAGCTTTGGTGCTTTCTTCTCCGTTCTCTCCGAAGCCCTTCGATTTCCTCTCCCTCCGCCATCAGTTGTTCTCCTCCCAGCGTACGATTTTATTGGTCGGATCTGTGGTGGAATTGCTATCCTTCTTTATCTGCTCCGGTAAAAAAATTCCATTTTTTAGCTTTTTTTTTTGTTGGTCTAATTTGATGTTTAGATGAATTGATGTGAGGGAAAGGTTTGTTCTTGAGAACGTATCAGGGTTGGGTCGGAAGTTGGATTAGACTGCTAATCTTTTTTCTGGGTGCTGTTGGTGCTTGGTTGATGATCCTTCCCTTTCCCCATGTCTTTTTCTGTTTAGGATCCGGCTCAAGAGGGCTCGATGAAATTTTTGGGGCTGGTTTTTTTGTTTGCCATCCGAAATTGAGGGTTTTCTTGGGGTTCTGTGATTTAGATTAGGTTAGGTTTACTAAGGTACATACATATATAAAAAAAGAGCAATCTTTGAAAAATCGGAGTATAGGTCAAAATTCTTTCTTTTGATTTTGGTACAGAAGTTGGGTTGAAAAAGATTGAATTTGGGTGCGTTAGGGTTACAGTACCATGGCGTTGAATTTCCCATCTTGTTCTATATTTTCTACCCGATGTATTCATACCGATGGTGAGTCCTCTCGATTGAGATGTGAGAGGAGCCCTCTTGTCTCTCGTTGGGAGACTGATAGTGGGTTGGCCGATGTCGAAGTCGCGTACGATCCGCTTGATCTGCTACCGGAGGACCCATTCGGGATGGGGCTCGGTGACTTGTTTGGGTGGACTTTGTTGTACTCATCTGAAACCCAGTTTTGCCATCATGGTTGGATGGAAGGATGTGATGGCTGGGTCAACGAGAGCTCGACAGAATTTTCTGTTCATGAGGCTCAATCTGGAAACTTGGAATCTAGTTCGGATGCCGGACAATCTTCAAACTGCAATCATTCAGAAGCCTTCTCCAGCGGAGATGTTGGCATGCCACATGACGGCCTGTTCTTCTGTCTTGCGTATATGGATGTTCAGAGTCTCCTCTCGATGGGAGGGGTCTGCAGGTCCTTGCGGTTGGCTGTTCAGAGGGATAATCTTTTGTGGAGGTGTATTCATATTAATTCTCCTCTGAGTGAGAAGATAACAGATGATATTCTGCTGAGGCTAACACTGCAAGCACGAGAGTATCTACAGTGCTTGAGCATGTCAAGTTGTTCAAAAATCACAGATGATGGCCTGAAGCTGGTGTTGGACAATTGTCCTCGGCTGAAGAAGGTTAGTGTTAATGAATAGGAAACTTGTTTAAGTCCATTTGCTGTTTCCGTCATCCTCAGTTTATTTTTGAGTATTTTCTCCTTGTGTTATGATTCATTTATTTTCTCTACATTTATACTGCTTAACAACAGTTCATTTACTTTTTTATATAAATTTATAGGAGAGATGAATTTATCATCATTGTGATTCATTTATTATAGATTATTTGATTCTATTTATTGGTGACCTTATTGGAAATGAAAATTATCATGTTGATACCATGTATGAGTTTTATGTGGCAATTTTGTTGCATAACAACAAATCAAAACTTGTTCCTTTGGTTGAAAATATTTATTGACAAGCCATGGCCTATATCAACTCTATTATAATCTTTAAAGATTGTTTGAAAACTAAGAAGGTGGTATGAAGTTGGTGAGAGATATATTGTTTTCATTGAGGTAGTGTTTAGTTGAATGATCATGTTTGATCATGCAAAGTAATGAACTTATTTAAGAAGATTGGGAAACTATCTTCTGCTTCCTTTCATTTAATGGCGGTGGACATTTTGCTCTAATTAACATATTTTTGTAGCATTACTTAGTGTTCTTCTAGCCATCAATGGAAAAATTTTCTAATGTGATACTCATATGCCTTTTTGTTGTTTAGTTTATTACAGGGGACTTATATGCGCAAATGCATTTATATTTTAGATTTAATTTTTTTAACTCTTGGCATTTTAATCTTTTGGATTGTTTTGTGTTCAAATTGCTTTACTTTAGAAGCACAGCAAAAAAATTACAAACAATAAGCTGAAATTTTGATGCTTATTGTTGTGTTCTTGAACATCTGGATTGTCTTCCAATGTTTTTGCAAGAATTTAAAGTATGCTTCCATATGTTTCTTCATTACATGCTTCCCTACTTTGTGTTGGGTCTTCTAGTCTTTTGACT